TGATCATTTAACCAATCGGTGTTGCTAGGCCCATCATCTTGGAAAAGTCTTCTTCTCATAACATCCCTCCGTTCTAGCTTCCAATATTGTTTTGTTTCGGGGGACATATGACTTGTATCCATTGCCATGGTTTCCCGATCCGTCTTCTGCTGATCTTTTTTGCGCAAATACTCTTTTTCTCGTGATTGTTCGGCTTGAATTGCCACCTCCATATCTTGGCGTTTCTGCTCCATTTCAAGTCTTATGGAGTTTTGCCTTGCAATTTCCTCCAAAAACTTTGAATTAAAATTGCTTGAATTACCCGCTTTCTTTGCCTTCGCAGCCTTTCGGCCAATGGGCCTTGGTTCTTTTTGGATGGGTGAGTCTTCACTCATAGGGGAATCGAGAGGTGAATCCGATGTCGTTGAATCACGGAGAGGCGTCTCGTTTAACACAACATCGGGACCCGTCGGAATAATTGTGAACCGTTTACAATATTTCACCACCTCCCAACATTCATGATGGGTGAACCTTTTTTTGCCACCCCCGGTTGCACCGAACCACATCTGTGCTTGAATGAGCTATTTAACAAAAAAATGGCAATGCAATAAATATTTAAAATATGTTGGATATGCAAGTAACAAAATAAAAATAATGGAAATGCAATTAACCTTACAAATAAATTGGAAGTGCAAGAAATATGAAGAAACAATTGGAAATGCAATAAATATTAACAACATATTGAAAATGCAAGAAATATTAACAACATATTGAAAATGCAAGAAATATTAACAAAATATTGAAAATGCAATAAATATTAACAACATATATATATTAGGACATTAAACTTAATAAAACGAAAATTACAAAATACTTACCTCGTTAGTACGATTTTCCCCACTTCTATACAAGTTCATCGTTTTTGCCAAGGCATCTCTCCATTTTGCCATCTCTTTGTTGAGAAGTTTCCACCTACTCGACAATGCCATTTCCGTACGAGGCGAGTCCGGAATTTTTTCGCAAAATTCGGCATGAATTTTTTTCCACATATGGAAAAATTTCATCTCATTGCCTGTCATGGGACAATGACAAACTCGGAGCCAAGCCTCACACAAAGAAACATCTTCCATGGTGCTCCACGCCCCTCCGGTTTCAATAGAAGAAGCCATAAAAATAAGAAATAAAAATACAATGTGAAAGAGATGAAAATGTGAAGTGAAGAGTGAAAAAATGTTGAAGAATTGTAGAAGTAGAATAAAATGTATGAGAATTGGTGTTGAAAGTGAAGGGTATTTATAGGTATTTATAGGAAAAAAAAATCAGAATTTGAAAGTATTTTTAGTATTTTTTTTAAAAAAATTTCGATTTTTTTTCATAATTTTATTGCTGGAAAATCGGGAGCCGTTGGATGAAGGCTGTGGAATCAAATCGGAGCGCTGGGGGCGTGCCACGTGGCTTCCAGCCGTTGGGCCTGCGTCGCGCTGACGTCAGCGCACGCTGGTTCAAAATTTTTTACCGTTGGCGCGTGCAATGCACGCGCCAACGGTAAAAAAATTTATATTACCGTCACCCTGACGTCGACATGACGTCAGCCACCGCGTTTTGGACCTCGGGCAGGACTTGCCTTCGGGCCAGCCCGAGGAGGTGGGTCCCACACCCCCCCGGGCCTGGGCTGTACCGCTGGAAGGCTTTTTTTTTTTTTTTTTTTTTTTTTTTTTCCCCCCGGGCTGGGCTGCACCGGTGGAATAGCTCTAATAGTCGCATTGGACCAGATTGTTGCGCTGCCATCGATGGAATTGATCAAAATTGTTTTGGCGTGATGGTAGACCAGTTCAACAATACGTATTATTATGTTCCTGCCCTTAGACAAAGTTGCGCTGATCAAATTTCTCCACCCGAAGGCACCTTCCAAAGCTTAATTAGTTATTTCAATTTGTAGATCATATAGATCATCTAGCTAGGTTGTTTATGTTTTATTGATTTAGAGGCATGTTTACAGCTTGCTCAATTTGCAATGACTAAATACATGTCTTTTTAATTATGTTTATTTTTCATAAATTAGTTGAATGTTGAGAGTTCAATTTGTTGGTTATTGCCCTACACAATTAATTTTCTCATGCAGTCCTGAGGAAAAAAAAAGAAGGAACAAATGCAAAAAGGTATATATAATTTTGTATGCATAAAATTATAACATATACAAGAGAAAAATATAACAGAAACAAAATGAAACACTAAGGAGGATATTTAGGAAAATGTTGCCGTTAATTATCATAAATAATCACAGCTTAATTCATCAGTTTTTATTTACAATAAATAATCTATATATGCTCGGGTAGGGATGGAACCGGTCGAATTGAAAGCAGGTTAATACCATGAAATTCATTAATAGCATAGATAGAGCGATAGCTTAGAAATGGTATGCGATGATAACTGTTGTGATTGATAGAACTTATACATTTACAGTTGAAGGGCTAATAGATACAGGAGCCAATCTTAACTGTATAAATGAGGGAGTGGTACCTACTAGGTATTTTAAGAAAACTACCCAGGTTCTACATACAGCCGTTAATAGCCAAAGAATGGGAATTCAATTTAAATTGTCTAATGCTGCTATGTTCAATCAGGGTATTTGTTTTGAAACTCCTTTTGTTCTGGTGAAAGGTTTAAACCAGTCTCTTATATTAGGAACACCTATCATTAATATGCTTTATCCTTTTTTTGTTTTGGAAAAAGGAATTAGAACTGAGGTAGAAGGTCAACCTATAATCTTTAGGTTTTCTCAACCACCAAAACATAAGTATACTAATGAAATTCAAGAAAAAATAAAAAGGAAAGAAAACTATTTGTACCATTTGGAAGAAGAAATGCAGCATAAGAGAATAGAAGAGCAGTTGCAAAATAGCAAGATAAAAGAAAAAATTGATGAAATCCAAAAGATGTTCGAGAGTCAAGTTTGTGCTGAAATACCCAATGCCTTCTGGAATAGAAAAAGGCACATAATTGAATTACCATATGAGCCTGATTTTGATGAAAAGAAAATCCCAACCAAAGCTAGGCCAATTCAAATGAATGCTAGGCTAATGGAAATTTGTAAATCTGAAATACAAGATTTATTAAATAAGAAGTTAATCAGGAAAAGCTTATCTCCTTGGAGTTGTTCCGCTTTTTATGTCGAAAACGCAGCTGAATTAGAAAGAGGAGTACCAAGATTGGTGATAAATTACAAACCTCTAAATAAAGCCTTGAAATGAGTTAGATATCCAATACCTAATAAGAAGGATCTTTTGGATAGACTAAATAAGGTAGTCATCTTTTCAAAATTCGACTTGAAATCAGGATATTGGCAAATCCAAATCGCCGAAAAGGGCAGGTACAAAATAGCTTTTAATGTCCCCTTTGGACATTACGAATGGAACGTTCTACCTTTTGGATTGAAAAATGCTCCTTCTGAATTTCAAAATATTATGAATGATATATTTAATCCTTACACTGCTTTCACCATTTTTTATATTGATGATGTTTTAGTCTATTCTAATTCTTTGGAACAGCACTTTAAACATCAGAATATTTTCTTGAAAGTTGTGAAACATGTAGGATTAGTAGTATCGGCAAAGAAAATGAAACTATTTTCTTCAAAAGTTCGCTTTTTGGGACATAATATTAATAAGGGATTAATAGTTCCGACTGATCGAGCAATATCCTTTGCTGATAAGTTCCCTGATGAAATTAGGGACAAGCAACAGTTACAAAGGTTCTTAGGAAGTCTCAATTACATAAAAGATTTTTATAAAGACCTAGCTCATGACTCAAAATTATTATATCAAAGGTTGAAAAAGAACCCAATTCCTTGGTCTGATGAACACACTAAAGTTGTTAGGAGATTGAAAGTAAAAGTCAAAGAACTTCCTTGTTTAGCTTTAGCCAACCTAGAAGCCTTTAAAATCATAGAAACCGATGCTTCAGAAGTAGGATAGGGGGAATCTTAAAACAGAAAGTTGATAACTCAGAACAATTGGTTAGGTTCACCTCTAGAGTCTAGAAACCAGCTCAAAAGAACTATTCTATTGTTAAGAAAGAAATGCTAGCCATCGTCCATGCTGTCTCTAAATTTGAAAGTGATCTTTTAAATAAGAAATTTTTTATAAGAGTGGATTGCAAGGCTGCCAAAGACATTTTGTTTAAGGATGTTAAAAATCTAGCATCTAAATAAATTTTTGCAAGATGGCAGGGAATTCTTTCTGCTTTCGATTTTGATATTGAATTTATAAAAGGTGAAACTAATGCACTCCTAGACTTTTTAACTCGAGAATTTTTGCAAGGTAAGAACCAGAAGTTCAGGCCAGATGACTCCAAGTAAGAGCTCCTCAGCTCTTATCAAGTCATCCCCTAATAATTCAAGCCTCTGATGACTTCTTCTCCATACAATAAGGGTAAGGAGAAGCATATCGCTGAAAATCCTTTTCGTGAATATATGAATATGTGGTTGCAATTATTAAAATGAATGATTTAGATAAACACCCAAATTTTCTCGTTGAAAAATATTTAAGGGATAATCTTCCTCCCTTGATTAAGCTTCGAATTTTCTATGAAACTCTTCTACTTGAAACTAAGTCTGTTAACATCGTTCATCGTCATAGGGGTGAAAATGCTAACACCATAGCATTTTCCAAAATTCAAATTTTAAATGTCATTTCTTTGGAAGAATGAGGCCTTAGCCCTGAAAGGGCCAAAAGATTTATTCATCCTGAAATTAGGCCATATTCTTATAATTTCTGGGATTATTAAAGGCACGGGAATATGTGTTATGTTTTCAAAATCAAAATTATTCTCATACTTGGTTTATCCAGTTCAAGCTTAGAGCTTTGAAAGAACTCCCTAATTGGTTCAAGAGCTTTTTTCTGATTTGGGGTCCTACTTTGGAATCCCTTCCTCCTGAAATTAAGGAATCTTTTCAAATGAAATTTTGTAAATGGAATAAAAACCATCCTGATCAAAGGACCTTATTCATGTGGTTCATGATAATGTATGAACTACCATGGATATTAAAATGGGAGTATGTTATTTCGGAGGATGTTAATGAAGAATGGACTTATATTCCCAATCTAGTCCGAAGTATCTTAATCAGATGGTGGGATAAATTCACTAGGGATCACCTAGCTCCCATCAAGATCGTCCCAGCTCTTATCCCATCTCCCGATTCTGCTGCTGCTCAGCCTTTGGTCACTTCTTCTGATTTAAGTGTTTCCCAAAGGTTACAACTATTGATAGACTAACTAGGATCATCATCCTCTAAAGAAGAATTGAAAAAGAAAGTCCTCGAGATTCTTGATCTGGATGACAAATCTATGGCCTCAGCATCTGCCACCCAACATGAAGATGAGGTGGACCCCTTTGCCAATGAAGACATGCTAGACAATTTCCATCCAGAGCTTTATGGTGGGCCTCAGTAATATTCTGTCTGATATAAGACAACTTGTAAAAACTGTTATTTGATGCTTTCCTGTAGTTTTGTTTTATCTGGTTAAAGCAAGATTCTCCTGCTTTAACTTAGATTTCCCTTTTGTAAAAGTGTGCTTTTTCCTTTTTTGGATGTTTGAGAGAAAGTTCAGCGAATAATCTCAAAGTGAAGATGCCGCTCTACTATAGGCTGCTTTGTGATTTCTTGTCTTTATTTGACACGACAACAACCCCGAGGCTTTAAAATGAGGACCTCTCCTTAGTTGCAAGACATCGAAAAAATTATCCCCTCTAGAAATAAACTTTGTACTTTTTGAGTGTTTGAGTGTTTTTCTTTCCAAGTGCTACTTCTGCGAAGCTTTTGTTAAGCACTACTGCCCTTCTGCCTTTATGTAAGTTTGCTAAATATTAATGTTATCGTTTATAGTTTCGTTATATTCTTATCCTTAGTTTTGGCTTTGCATGTTTGAATTTCTGATAATTATTTTGTTTATTCTCTACGTCTTTACACTACCTTCCGCGCATAAATTAAAGCAAAAATCGATTAAAAATTTGCTCTTAAGAGGCCTGGTACTGGGGATTCAAATACCATCCCCGTTCCTCCCCGAACACCATACCCAACAAATTTCCCGTACCCGTTTCCATACCCATTTTTTATCCTTTATACTCGACCCATTAAGGTTGAATCCCCCAAAGACCCTTACCCGAGGGAAAATTGCCATCCCTAGTTGGGGAGCTCCACTAGGGTGTTTTAGGTTCATGTTGTTCTTTTTACCCCCCAGCAAAAGAAGCAAAAACTTTACATATATTATGCAAAATAATTTTTTTTGGAAAGAAATGACATAAGAAGCTCTCTTGTTTTTAACAAAAATTTAAAATTTAAAATAAAATATAGGTTGTATTTTATTGAACACAACAACTCATTTAATCTTTTTTAATTCTAAATAAAAAACGAAATGACATACATGTGTGAAGGAGCTAGTGATAATGATGAGAGTGCTACATTTACAAGAGTGTATAAAGCTTTTTAAAGACTAAAAATATGAGCTTCCACGTGGAGTATGGAGTTGTGCTTAATCAATGGGGTCGTCAAGAGGTTGTCCGTCAATCCCTATCGAGTGCTAGAGCACAACTTCATCAGAGTTTTGATTTTTGTAAATTTTCCAATGGTCGTCTTTGCTTCTAATTTTTCAATCATACATGCTTTTGGTTACCATGAATTTCATTTTACGACACAATTCAAACAAAATTACGATTGCATTAATAGAAAAAGACTAATTAGTTAAAAGTAGAAGCAAATAGCTTATATATAAGTAGAAGCAAAGATGATCTATGAATGTAGATTTAAAAAAACAAATGAAAGGGCCCAACCGGGTTCGAACCGGTGACCTCTTGATCTGCAGTCAAATGCTCTACCACTGAGCTATGGACCCAAATGTTGACAATGTTCCCCCGCAAAGACTATAAATGCTACACATACGGGTGATTTCAAAAAGTAGCTAGCTTTTCATTTTTTCTTTATATAAATACTTTTATTTAAATGTTCCTCTATAATTATGAATTCCAATAATATTTCTATTTAAAAGATTCTCTATATATTTCGTTCCCATATATTAATGGCTTCAATGGTGTCATGTGACAAGATGTATCCCAAAAATGTTTCTTCCTTGCCTTGGAAGCCATTACAATACTTGCTTGCAAACCTAGCAGTGAAATGGTCCAAAATAACTATTTTTCACAATTTATATTCTAAAATAGCCCCTTTTGTATTAAAGAGATTGTATGGGACAATGACTATTATAGAATAAAAATTGTGAAAAAGGGCTATTTTAGCACAAACCCCGAGCCTATCCAATTATAATGTCCAAAAAAGTATGTACTTCACTAATATGATTATGAACACATAAGTATAGCCGCGTGGCTATACTATTTTTAATTTTATTTTGAAGTATAGCCTCACAAAATTTCTATCTGAAACAGGTATGGGTATCTGAAACAGGTATGGGTATCCCTTGTGATTGTTTCAAAATTTTCTCTTTGGTTCTTCAATTTGGTGTGGTTCTCGGATCATGATGTCTTTTCGTTTGTAAATATGACAATATCATGATGTTGTAATGGGTAATTTATACGACTACAAAACAAAATTGTTGCTGTGATTGTTTCAATTGGGGTTCTGCAAAGGGCTTTTAGCATGGATTGTTTCAATTGTTGCTGTAATATCAGAGTGCTTGCTATTGTTGTTGATCTTTAAGATCTATGCATGCATTGTGATTTGATATGTTGGAAATTTGGTGCTCATGTATTGAACAAATTACATTGGTATTAGGCTGCTGCCATTCAGTTGGAAATTAGAGGTGGGGAGCGGAGAAATGCATATATGCAGTGCAGATGGATGGGGAGCCATGGAAGCATCCAATGCACGAGGAGTATTCAACACTAGTCTCAGATAAAGAAACTGGATTGAGTAAAGCTGAATTTCTTTTAGAGTTCGAAACATCATCCAAGGAACTCTCCATCATGACCCTTAATCTTCATACGCCTATCTCTTTTAGAGTTGTAAATATCACCTTGATGCGGTTGTTCCCTGTTGTCATAACTTAACCAAAGAAAAATAAAAACACGGAAATCATTAGGTTTCCTTTAAGTTTTTTCAATTCAGGCAAGAAAAGACAAACTTCAAACCAATTTATTGTTTACAAATTGCAAGGACAAAAATAAGACAGAGCTCAAAATTAGAAATAAAAAATGAATATTAGCTCGAACAATAAAAAAAAACAAAACACTCCGTGAGAATAAAATCCAGAAGTTGAAACAGTGCTTAAGAATCTCCAATTTTGAATTGGCAGTGAGACAGTACGACGAGAAATAAAATCATAAGTCGAAAAGAATAACCTTTGATTCTACTCATAAATTAAAATCCAAATAACGTGATAGACAAACCAAAGAATTGTGAGAAAAATGTATATACTTCAAACTGTCTAGACTAAATCCACCATGCACATCCCCTCAAAATTCCCTTCTCTCTTCGCTCTCTCCTAAACGAACGACAACGACGACAACTTCACCAATTCCAGATCAAGATTGTTCACTTAGAATTGGATTGGATAAGTCACTAAATCTAAGGTATTGTGAAGGAGGAAATGAAGGTAGATGTGAATGATTTTCCATTTTGGGGGGATTAGGAGGGATTAATTAGAAAGTGTTGTTATCCTACAATTTTGTGGGGATTAGATGGGATAAGTTTTCTTCATGAGTAATCCATCTTCTGCCTTCAACTTGGTTTTTATATATATATATATTTTTTTTTTCATTTGTTCCTTAAACATATGCTTTAAATATAAGGAGTTATCTAATCCAATCAAATCCAATCAAATCCAATCCAATCCAATCCAATACTGGTAATCAAATGAGACCTAACCGCTAGTTCAAGCCTCAATTAATTAAATATATAGTTTGGTTGGACATTATTTTTTTTCTACCATTCAAATTTTCTTGTCGACTTCTAGAATCAAATTGAAAGATTATTATGTTTTATAAATTACTCTTAGTATTACTTGAGTAAAGCCACAACTGTAGAGTTTGGATAGGAAAAATATACTTTCATTTAGTCCCACATTGGAAGGGGGTTGTTTCTTTTTATGGTTTATAAGTACCAACACTTTAGAAATACTAAATAGGGTATAGGTTTAGTGGAGGCAAAATGGGGCCTCATCTTGGTTTGAGCTTGGATAAATATTTGGGTGATAGATAAAAGTATATAATTGTCAAAAGATGGGCCCTTGAGCTCTGTTGATTTAATTAATATTTCTTCTTAGAAACTGTTGTTTGATTGTATAAATATATATATATATATATATATAATTTTGTCTTGTTTTATTATGTTATTTAGTTATATTCTGATAGTTTGTCATCAACAAAAATCCTTTAAATTAGTCTATTCTTTTTATAAACAATCTTATTTTTCTTCATATAGAACCAACTCCATTTCATGAAAGGCCGAATGATGTAAGAATCAAGTTATCTTTGAAGTCAGTAAATTTAAAAAATAAAAATAATAAAAAAAGAAAAAAAAACGTATAGCCGGGCGGCTATACTATTTTGACACGTGGGCACCTAGGCAATAGGCGGGTTTTTTTTTTGTTTTTTTTTTTTAAAGAGTATGTCGGCCATAAACAGGGTTTTCTATTAAAAAAAACTAGTACAGACGGGCGGCTATACTCAGGTTTTTAATTTTTCTTAAAATAGTACCGCCGCTTGGCTATACAACGGTTTTTTGAAGGAAAAAAGTATAGCCGAGCGGCCACACATTTTTTGACAAACGAGTCCCTTTTTTTTTATAAAAAAACAAAAGGCTATACTCGGTTTTTTTTTAAATAATTAAAAAAGTATAGACGCGCAGTTGTACTTTTAGACTATTCTATTTCAAGAGTATAGCCGCACGGCTGTATGGTTAAAATTTCTATTTATAGAGTATAGCCGCACGGCTATACTGTTAAAATACTATGCTTTTACCATATAGCAAAGAAACTAATTTCATATTTTAAAAAAACAAGAAAACCTGTCCCGACCAAATTTTGTCGGTAAAGGTATATACCGGCAAATATTTGCCGAATTAGACATTTCCCGATGAAATTTAACTTTGCCGGCGAAATAGTACCGCCGCTCGGCTATACAACGGTTTTTTGAAGGAAAAAAGTATAGCCGAGCGGCCACACATTTTTTGACACATGACGCCATAAACGGGTCCCTTTTTTTTATATATAAAAAAAAGAGGCTATACTCGGTTTTTTTTAAATAATTAAAAAAGTATAGACGCGCAGTTGTACTTTTAGACTATTCTATTTCAAGAGTATAGCTGCACGGCTGTACGGTTAAAATTTCTATTTATAGAGTATAGCCGCACGGCTATACTGTTAAAATACTCTACTTTTACCATATAGCAAAGAAACTAATTTCATATTTTAAAAATATTTTAAAAAAAGCAAGAAAACCTGTCCCGACCAAATTTCGTCGGTAAAGGTATATACCGGCAAATATTTGCCGAATTAGACATTTCCCGATGAAATTTAACTTTGCCGGCGAAGTTTCATCGCAATAGGTCTAACCCGGCAAAGTTTCACCGGGATAGATTGTGCCAACGGAATTTCGTCAGGAGAGGTTTTTTTTAAAAAAAAATTTAACTTAATAAAATTTTATTTTTAGTAATTAAATAATATCTTAGCCTTATTTAATTACTTTCATTAGTAATTATGTTTTATTTATTATTTCTTTAGTGAATAATTAGTATTAAATATTATAGTTAACTTCATAAATTATATTACTTGATAAATAGTAATTAATTTTTAAATTTTTTTTCTTTAAAAAATATTTTGGGTTAATTTCAGGTTGGTACCCTGAAATTGTACTCTTAAGGTATGTTTGTCCCCATATTTTCAATTTTAACAATGAGGTACCTCCACATTTAAAATTTGTTACAATATGATTCTACCGTTAGAAGATCCGTTAAGTGATTACGTGTCATTTATGAGGTCCAATTTTTTTGCTTACGTGTAAAAAAATATTAATAAAAAAATTGAAAAATTAAAAATAAAATCTCTCTCTCTCCTCTCTCTCAACCAGCCCAAATTGAATGAATATATATATATATATATTCAAAACAACATAAGTTTTATTCAAAAGGCTTATTATCACAAAACGTCCTTAAGGTTTACGAAACTATCAGATTGCATCCTTAATGTTTTTTTTTTCATTCGTAGTCCTCAAGGTTTGTATGCATGATCACAAATGGTCCCTGCCGTTAGGTTCCGTCAAAAACTTCGTTAGTTTGCTGACGTGGCATATATGTATATCACAAAACATTTTTTAGGTTCACACACCTATCACAAATGGTCCTCACGAAGTTTTTTAATTTTTTAAATTTAAAATTCATAACATTTATGTTTTCTTTTTAAAATTTTATGAATTATAATTATTTTAAAAAATATATTAAATTTTAAATACATGTGACACTATATTATTGTAGATGTGGGCTCCATATATATGTCACATCAACAAACTAATGAAGTTTTAAAAAAATAATTTAAAATTCATAAAATTTAAAAATGAAAAAAAACTAAACGTTTAGGGTTCATAAATGGTCCTCAAGATTAAAATCCTTCTATAAATGGTTTTTTCATTTATAAATAATTTTAAAAAAAAACCAAAATTTTATGAATTTTAAATTTTAAAAAAAAATTCGTAGGGACCATTTGTGATAAGTGTGTAAACCTCATGGATGTTTTGTGATATATATAGATGCCACGTCAGCAAACTAACAGAGTTTTTGACAGAACCTAATGTTAGGGACCATTTGTGATTGCACGTACTAATCTTGAGGACCATAAGTGACACAAAAAAACATTAAGGATGCAATATGATAGTTTCGTAAACCTTAGGACGTTTTGTGATAATAAGCCTATTCAAAATTATTATAGTGTTTTTTTGGGTTCAAGAAAATGAACTGAGCAACGTAGGAAGAAACACAAATATTTTTATTTTTATTTTTATTTTTATTTTCAGGGGATATTGGTCACATATTAAAAACCCTTTTATGAGTTTGAATAGAAAACAACTTGAGTATTTCACATAAAAAATGTAAGCTGATGAGGTTGTAACCTAGTCCAACTCTACTTGACAAACTATAAAAACCCCTACTAGAGCAACATGTAGAAGCACAATTGACAGGGAGAGAGAGAATAATATCATTGATCAATATGAGGATTTCAATCTCCATTGTGTTGCTTTTTGTGAGCTCAGCATTGTTGTTCAATGTAGGGTTTGGGAGGCATAACCCTCCCTATGTCACCCAATTCCTTCATGATCGTGCTGCACATGCACATCCAAAGACAGATTCACATGCGGCACATCCAAAGGCAGTCTCACGACTTTGGTTCTACTTTGGGCAGCCTTTGACGCCATCGCCACCACAAGTTCCGGCACCGCCGACATGGAAGCCACCAACTCAAGAAGATTATGAAAAATGTTGGTCACCACTAACTGACATCGACAGATTAGTGGGAGACCTGATTTCTGCCTTTTTTGCTGGCGATTATAGTCGCATTGGACCAGATTGTTGCGCTGCCATCGATGGAATTGATCAGAATTGTTTTGGCTTGATGTTAGACCAGTTCAACAATAGATTTTATGTTCCAGCAGTCAGACAAAGTTGCGCTGATCAACGCTCTCCACCCAAGGCGCCTTCCAAAGCTTAATTAGTTATTTGAATTAGTAGATCATGTAGATCATCTAGCTAGGTTTTTTTAGTAGTTCTTTTACGTTTTAAGTAGGTTTTAAGGTTTTGTTCCAGGTGGATTTTTATTTTTGTTTGCTTGATTCAGTCACATGTTTACTGCTTGCTCAATTTGCAATGACAAAATACTCATCAGGTGGTTAGTTTTTTGAGTACAAGATATAGAAAAAAATTATCAAAAGAATGTATGTTATATTCATATTTTCCCACTATAACAAAGGAAAACACAGTATTTAAGGTCGTTCGATCCCTCCATATGCGAGGTATGAAAGTATTAACACCAGCCAATTCAAATTAGGAATTGAACAGAGAGAGGCAAAGAAATACGAAGCTGATTTTCCATTCATTCATGATGTGGAGAGAGAAATAACTGTAACACTATCTATATACAAATCAACCTGCAAGTTATACAAGTTTTTGTCGCAAAATTAAACCACCAACTAGATGTTCAAATCATTTAAACCAGAAACCTAATATGTAGATTCATTAGCATCGCAATTGTACGCGGTCACGAACAAGAACCAATATGTGTTAGGACAAAAAAGAGAAATGAACAAAGAGCTGCATCTGCTTCCTGGAGCACAAAAGCAACCTGGGCCTAGAAAAATAAGATTGAAATTCCCATTGTAAAGCATCCAGCAGCAACCCAAGGGCTCAAGCGTTCACCTGTTCCAAGTGGCAACAAAGTCATCTATCACACCCATGAACTAGGTAATTCTAACTACTCTAGCAGCAACATGATAGATAATAAGTCAAAAGAAAATCTTAGTAACCTACCTATTCTAGCTGCCTTCCAAAAAAATCCCCGGAACCTGCCAGCACCAGACATGGAATCAGAACATTGACCAAAAAACAAAGGCATGGAATCAGAACAGAGCTAGATCTTGATTTTTGACATATCATACAAAGGAAGGCATGGAAGCATGAAGGAAAGTATGACACAAACATCACCGAACGGAAGAAAATAATTCAGTAAATCAAGTAGAAGAAAAGCAAGTACCCTACGGAGAGAACTCTTATAGAGTAAGCAGGACGACGGAATACATAAAGAAGACTATGCCGCACGTGAAAATCAGAGTCCAAATAGCAATCATCTAGTATGTGCGTATACGGGCGTGTGAAAGACCATTGCCTTTAAAACAAGCCAGGAAGAAGACATAACCAGTTTGCAAAATTGCAGCCCTTTTGTGTTTAAGCAATCTTTACTGCGATGCAATGCTTAAACCAAGCAGAAGGGCTGGCTTACAGATTTCAATGAAGTATTTTAGCCTCACCTAACAATGTGCATGGGCAGTGATAATATATTGCAAAGACTTCAATGCTTACAAGTTGCAGTTAGGGTAATAGTTTCCAAGCCTGGACATTGTTATAGGTTTTGCAAACAACATCATTCAGGACTTTTATCAAACATATTCCGATCAAAGCAGTATCCATTCACATAAACAAAAACACTTAAAGTTCAATGCAATTAATGGAAAACAAATATTAACAAACAACCCATTAAAGTAAGTAATTGTAATTAGAGAAGCCATGAACTGAGACTGACCCAGTTTTCTGCTCCAGGACGGCCGGGAACTGCATCTTCAAGAACGTGCACGTGCAAATCACGAGCAGCACCACCGTCAAAAACGAATTGAAATTGAAAAGCGCCGACTGCACCCAGAAAAAAATAAATCAAAACCCTAATTTGTAATACAAACACCCAATTTCGATCAAATTAGAAACAAATCAATAAAAAAAATTCACTGATTCTGACCATGTTCGAAGTCTGGGTCTTCGAATTTGTACAGATCCACGAGAAAGATTAGGAGATCTGAGCAAAAAGACTGAAGATCCGAACAGAGCTTTGCGCTTGCAAAATATACAAGCTGAAACCAGTGCTTTCGCTTTTTAAACGACTCGTCGTTTGTATAGCGGTCGAATAAGCCAGCGTGGCGATTATTAAAATTACTGAAAGCCCACGAATTTGGTTAAAATTACGAAGTTGAGTACCGCCAATTCGAAAATTTTCGAGGGTAGCCCCGCGCCATAAGAAACCAAATGCTCTTTTGGTGAAGATTTCGATCATTTTCTGGAATCTTCGTCGCCCTCCTCCTCAGAGACTGAGAGTGAGTGAGAAGACGGCAATGGCGGAAGTGAAGCGGTGGAGCATTACCTACACCAAGCACATGAAGCAGAAGCGCAAGGTTTACCAGGACGGTTTCTTAGAGCTCAACACCTCCGTTAATAAGGTATTTATTTTTCAAATTTTCAAATTAATCCCAAAATTACTTCAATTTTTTCTTTCAATTCATAGTTTTGTGCTTAAATTTTTTTATTCTAATGCACAGGTGTTGCTGTACGACGATTGTGAGAAGCTCTTGGAGTGCAGGCTCTTGAAGAAAGACGAAGAAGTTAGCTCCGGCGAAACACTCACATTCAATGCTTTTCTTGTTGACGTGAACGAAGCTGATTCAGCCGAAGGAGATCGCAAGCCTGTACCTGGTTTTAATTCTCAAGCAAAAGATACGAAATTTAATGAGAAACGCGCAAAGCCGTTTGTGAATACAAGTTCAGTTTCTAATTTGCTGTTATTATCTCAATAAATTTTGTTCAATTCCGTAGCATTGTATATTTTTTGCTTCCTTGCTTTTGATATCACCAATTTTGAGATTCTTACAGGGAATAAGCCGCAGCCAAATTTGAGCCCGTCGCAAAAGATAATTAGAGGTTAGTCTGCCTCCCATTACAATCTCCTTTCACATGTGAACAATTTTAATTTAATTTGTTTTTATGTTTCACATTTCAGAGTTTAAGAATAGGGAACTGCACAAGTATGGTGCAGCACAAAGTAGTCCAGAAACGATGAAAACTAGCAAAACAGGTTAGTTAGTTATCGGTAGCTCTATTTATGTAAAAGCAATTTTAACTCTAAAATGTTGAAGCATAGCAGAATTTTGTGATTTCTATACTGCAATATTTTACAAGTCCCTTTAATTGGGAGTTGTTGCTTGTCATTTGGCATGCGTTAGTTTCATTATAGTGTCATGGTTTCTCTGGGACTCACTGTGTTCTGTTCTTTATATTCCCCCCTCCCTTTTATAATTGTTTTCACGGTCTACCATTTACAATCCAGAATGGCAGGTTCTATACACCACACAACTAACTCAAAAGGCCAAGAAGTATCATGATGGTTTCTTACAACTTGCAGTTTCTGGGTCTTATGGAAAGCAGGTTGACTTATCCTACTACCCATCTGTTCTTATTTGCAATCTCAAGTTTTCCTATAAATCCGTAGGCCACTCCTCACTTATGGAAGTACAAATCCTTTTCGAGTCATGTGTGTAATTGCACACAAATTTACCTAAAGGAAAATTGACTCTCAGGCTTTACCTTTTCTCTCTCTGTACAGATAATACTGTTGGATGAAAGCAGGAATCTCTTAGATAGCAGGTTCCTTAAGAAAGATGAAGTCCTAGCATCCGGTGAATCAATAGGATTTAGTGCTCATTTAGTTGAAATTGGAGAATGTGAAGGAGATAATAAACCCGGGAAAAATTTGCATTTCAAAGAAAATAAACGTAATGTTGTTAGAGAGGCAGGAGTAAAGCATGAACAAAGTAATGGTGTTATCACTGATAAAGCTGCTGAGAAAGGTTAGTGAGAGAACGGTATTTTCTTGTTCCAGATTTAACTTTTGTATCTCTGAATGTGACTGTTTACATATTTTCTTCATTTATCTTATCTATCCCTATGACCCCAATGATCGGGTCCAAGGTTGACAACTTTTTTCCTTTCTCTAACTTAGAATGGAAGGTCCTGTACACTACACAATTAACCCAAAAGGCCAAAAAGTACCATGATGGCTTCTTAAAACTAGCAATGTGTGGCTCCCAAAGGAGGCAGGTAATATATTAAGAAACTTTATATGTTTGCACAGTGTTATCATCTTGTTCCCACGCCGAGCAATGTATGATCTGACTGATTGCAAAAGTTGTTCTTTTTTTCCCTTCTTATTGTTGGTTTCACTTTCTACGAAATTTGATGATTACTGTTCCATCTTTGGTTCTGCACAGGCCATGCTGTTTGATGCGACTAAGAAACTCATAGATAGCAAGTTCCTCAAAAAAGATGAAGATATAAGATCTGGTGAATCATTTACATTTGATGCTCATTTGGTTGACATTGGAGAACCTGAAGGAAACCATGAAGCTTTGGTAGATTTGAAATTTCGAGGAAAAGACGATTGCTATGTCCAGGAAACAAGGAAATTAGGTGGTGGAGATGATTGTGTTATAGTCAATAATTTTGAAGTAAAAGGTTAGTGTGACATATATTCGCTCTTTTGTTTGGCTTTTGTTTGTGTTGTTGTTTACATTTTCATGGTTTTTATGCAATGGATCCTTCTATCTATTTCTATAAATGATGTACAGGTTTCCACCTTTCATGTAATCCCTTATTTTAAATCTTAAATGTAATGGAATAAATCTTAAATGTTGTTTTATTGTTAATAACCAGAAGCAAAGTCTTCAACGCAATGCTTTCAGGCCTAAAAGGAAAAGGCAACGGTTTTGATGTTCTTCATAGTTTGAATCAGTGTTCACCTTCAAATTTGGAAATTAAGAATTAACAACTTGAGATCGTATAGTTGAAGGGATCAAATTTACATTATTCTGGGACCATTTGGATACGTTTTACAGAATTGGAGGATGGAAATTGCATGATATACACTTTGCACATAAACGCTACCCTTAGTTCTGTCTGTGAGAGTTATCCTTCTAAGATTCCTATTGCACTTATATTCTCTAAAATGCAGAGTGGCATGCTCTATACACCACTCAGATTACTCAAAAGGCCAAGAAGTACCATGGTGGCATTCTCAGACTTGACTTTTCTGGTTCTTACCGTAAGAAGGTTGTTTACATTTATCTTGAGCTCCATGTAATTGGTGTTGCTTTCATATCTATGAGCCATTTCTACTGTACGTGATGTGTCACATGATGCCCATCTATGCCTTGCATGAAATCCTATAAGCCTTTAGAGCTGCATCACTTTTGTGGGATACTGAATTCAAAACTAGCTTCTGACATTTTGAGTCATTATATATATGTCAGGTTAGTTTACTTAGTGAAGACAAAACCATGCTGAGCAGTAAGTATATCAGTTTGTCAGAAGATATAAGAACAGGATGCATGTTTGAGCTGCCAAAATATTTGGTGGAGGTTGGTAGACTATATACAAGTTCTGGAGGTATGGTTCTGTTATAGTATGCTAACTTAGACATTGATGCTTGCTGAGGTCTTGACCATGCCTGTGGCATTTTTGGCCCAAAGGTGAAGGAAAACCTCACAACAAAGATTATTTGAGGAAAGCTTCAGAGTCAAATCTTAGCATCTCTAGTGTAGAGGAAACGAGATCAAGCAGGGCAGTCCATACAAACAAGCCTTTACGTGATGGTGAGTCTAGGATTACTTGGTGAATCAATTAGCATAATTTATTGAATTTGAAGTATTTTCTTCTCCTTTTGTAATTTATTGTTTGTCGTATTTATTTTCTGCTTTTCATTTTTTGGCGCCTGAGGTAGGCGTGCCATGTGGGAGCTTTGATCTGTCTATCTTGAGTAATTTCCTTTAAATCTTACTGCATTGCTGATTCTTTATCTGTTTCCATAACTGCAGCCAATCAGATTTTGTCCATTCTCCAAAGACCTATGGCTCAGGAGAGGATAGTTTCAGGCCATGCTGATAACAGCACAGCAAGACCAATTGCCTCCACTAAGGAGTCTCGAGTTTCAGATGCTATAATAGTGAATTTCTCTGAAGATGCTCGACCATCACAACCACATAGATCAGTTGAAAGTATAGAGCAAAGTGAAAATATGGACATTGGAAACCCCCCTGATCCTATGTCTTTCAAAGGCAAGTCTTATCAGAACTGTTTAAACTTGCATCACCTTTTACTGTTATATTTTCTGAAATTAATTATGCGGCAATTCAATATGAATTGGAATATGCAGCAATATCCAGTGGTAGTGGCAGTCAAGTAGCTGATGGAATCAACATGAGAAACTCCGACCAGGTCTAGACTGTTCCCCACACCACAGTATCTATTGCCAAATTTCCTTTTTCTGCTTGTACTATTCAAATTTGGGTTGTCTGCCTCTTTCATATTGAGATCCTTGTTAGCCACCAAATTAAAGGGGAAATAATTAGAATTATTTTATTGCATAAACAACCAGTGTAAATCCTGCGTAAACGAAGAAGTTTGGGATATAGTTAGTTGAGCCCAATCCATGGAGGACTTATATCATTCAAGTATATGTGGAATCCCACTATGGCACACGATCTTCATTCAATGTTTGAAATTTATGCAGACAATACATGGTTGATAGCTCTCTTTTATCTATTTCTTTTATTTCTTTTACAATGCATTTCACCCCTATAGCACCCATCGTTAAACTTTTTAGTTTTGACATGATATATTGTGTTTACAATTGTCTCAAGCAGTTTTGTCCAGGACATGTGAAAGTTGACACCAGACAGCATGACACAGCATATACTTCCGACAAATCGAGTTTGAGTTCTTGCGTTTCTCATGATGCTGCGGATGAGAAAAGTAGTTCTGAGGAGCCTACTTGTGAGCAAATTGAAGAATGCCCTAGTTTTGATCTTGGATTTTAAACAACTCTACCTGGCACTTTGCTTTGTATATGTTGTGTGATAGCTTGTAGTGAGTCCATGTTTAGTGAGAGTTAGGAATCTAAAGTTCTGTATGTCCTGTGCTTCAATGTTGTGGCTTTGATGATTTTATTCACTCTTTTACTCTTAGCAGATGGTCAAAAATGAGAAACAAACGAGACGTAAATGCAACGAAAGAAGTTGAACACTTAAAACTTATGAATGATTTAGAACTTTGCTGGCAAAGAGCAACACAAGCATGAAAGTGTAAACTGAAATTCTGATAGGCTTCCTTGTACCTCTTTCTGTTTTGTTCACTTAATTTTCATCCAAATATTTGTACAATGTGGCATCCTTTCTAAACTTGCGCATGCTAAGCAAGGCCTTAAACAGACGTTTATGTTTGCCTGAGTGCTGATCACTGTCTTTGGTCGTGTCTCTTTCAGCATGAAGAGGCAATGAAATTGTTCTCCTGGTTCGGGGCTCCGAGACGTACTGAAAATATAATCCAATATATTTTCTAAATCTCAAAAGTATTTGATTATTAAAAAAACTAGAGCTGAAACTTGCAAGTGCTTACCCGCTGTTTGACAGTAGAAGAAGAGTTCATAGTGCTTGATCTCTTAACAAGAGAGCCACAACGTGGAAGTGGAAACCGATGCGGTGAGACCGTTCTTTTCTCTGATTTTATGGGAGGAAAATTGCATTAAAGATGTTGTATAGCCAACAGAAGCTTAGCAACATATTAAATGGAAGAAACATTTTATACAAACCAAGTTTGGATGAAATTCTTGTGAACTGAAATGCTCCAGGTGAAGGTTGAGCAGAGTGTGATGCAAAAGGCTCTTCACTGCATCAGAAATAAAGCACACAGGCTTGGTGAAAAAAGTTCAGACTCAGAATAAGTTTGGCCATTATGTTGAAAAGAAAAGGTGTTCACAGATAACATTTACCTGACAATTGTTGGAGCAATCTCCTTCATTGTTGTTGCTTCAGCAAAATATTCGCATAAACAAATTATTAGATTTTCCCCAGTGATTTAACAATTAAAATGAAAATTAAAAAAATATTAAAGGATGAAATGAATACCTGTACTAATCTCATTCAAATCCTCTTCAGCACTTTGTCTCAATGCAGACTGGCCAACAGTATCCATGATGAGAACATACTTGTCTGGCAAGATGTATCTCCTATGGTGCTTGGGAAATTTTGTGGCTAAAGAATTTTGGAACACACCCCCTTGAGTGACGAAATCTTGGCACGTCCTAAGTCTAGATTCCCCCCCGGATGCGGAAAAAAAAAAAAAAAAAAAAAAAAAAAAAAAAAAAAAAAAGGGTTTAGACAGAGGGTTGAAAAAAAGAGAAAAATATTCAGCTCCTACCTGTTCAATGCAAGACAACCTAAGCCCAGTTTCTGAGACTTGATTGACATTTTCATCCAAAAATCCATTGACCTTATAAGCCATTGAACCCAAGTGATCCACAGCATTGACAACTGTTTTGAGGACATAATCCTTCAAGGCCTCCATCACTCTACCAGTACAAAACATAGAAACAACAATCAGAATTAGCAAATGCCATAATTCATTTTGGTCCTTTGTGCTGTAACTCACAATTGTTTTTGGTCCTCTTTGCTGTAAGACATTTCGAAATATTCAGCTGCTGAGTACAACTGTTTCCTCATATTCTTCAGTTCCTGAATCAGCAAATGCCATAAAATGAGTTCGGAAAACTTCATGGACAAGACTAACATGGAAGAGAGGTGAAACATACATTCAGATTCTCTGAAAAGAGCACCCTCTGCTGCATGAAGAGTTCATCATCATGGTGGGAAGCTTTTTTTGGGACAGAAACTGAAGAGGAAGAAATTACACCCTGCATTTTGCCACCTGCAGAAAACACAAACTTCTGATATCAGTCACAGAACTGAAAGCAAAGACATGCTAATCTGAGATCATTTTGAACCAGAGAAACCATGATTCTGTGCTGAAAGCAATACAAATATTTGGCTTACTTGAGTCAGAAAATCAGAAACCAGCACAACAAGACAGTATAGTTACTTTCCTTTTGCTATAAATTCTCAGAAAGAAAGCAAACAAGAAATAGCAGATAAAAACTAGTGAGATGGCAAAGAGCAGCCACCTGGGTGCTCAGGAAAAATCAACTTGTCTTCATTCATGGAATATTTATGTCTTTTGTTGACAAGAAACTGTCAGCATAAGGAATAGAAGATACTGTATTTTACTCTCAGAAAAGTGGGAATGAGAGAATGCTGTTACTGGATTTATTAAGCGACAACATCAATCAGAACCAAATATCATTTTTTCTATTCTTGAAAGCAAAACATCAAACAGTTGAGTCACTAATCATTTTTGTTACACTGCTTATTATGAGTTCCTTTGCAAAGAGGAAAAAGCCTACTAAAAAGTCCATCAAAACAAGCCACTTGTCAGCCATGTGGTGGTTTGATTGTTTTCAAACCTGGGACCCCCAAAATTGATGGGAGGAAGATGAATCTTTAATTTGATCCCAACTCACATCAGTGATGGTGTTTGCTAGCTTGGCTGCTGAAAAAAATCATTTAATCCAGTGGTTCTATATCTTATGATGTCTTGCCTTAAGAGCCAACTACTTGACCCTCTGATTAATTATGAATGGCAAGTTGGTAACCACTTAATTTTAGTTGTTATTATTATTACTGCAAGTCTGCAAACTAAAGAAAGACCAGAAGCTGGAGCTGAACATAGTTGATCCAATTTTCTTGTAAAGTGATGGATCATGGAAATCAAAGTCAAGAAATTGCATTTATTTTGGTACAAAGAAAGGTTGAATGTAGCAGCAGGGCATCCGTGTCAAAACGCTACCAGAAAATGCCAAGAGGATATTTTTAATCATATGTCAGTGGGGGATTCGACGTTAGGCATTGGATTTATATGGCATTAAAAATGCGACTGATGGGCACGTATAAACCACCATTAATCCACTTGCATTAGCTTTGTCTTTTAGATCGTAGGGTTGAGAGTATTACCGACAATGCTAAAAGTGCTTTACTAATAAGGAAAAGGTTTCTTTGTAGCTTTAAATCAACTATACAATGTTGTTCGCCTATATATCACCCGGAGGGGACGATTCACAATGCATCAACAGGTAAGAGTCACACACTCAAGCACTGCTCTTGAGCTTTCTCTATTTCTTTTTCCAGCACATAAACAGAACCATTTCAAGTAATCAAAAGTACCATCTGATTAATGAAAACGCGAAGAACATAAATGCGCTGAAAAATATTGCCACCAGAGTGGTCAAACTAAAGTACAATAGTAGACAAATTTTGAGTCTTCGTACTAAAATTGAGAAGAAAATTTTGAAAGTGAAAAGTATGAGCAACAGATGTTGGGTGTCGTGATAACAACACAAACAACCACAATGCCGCAGCATTTTTAAACAATCCGCTCCAACTCTCTCGCATAGCTGAGCGTTTGGTTGATGAGCTGTAGAGAAGGTATCTCCTTGCAAGGAGCAGTCTCCTTCGCCTTCTGGAAATAGACAGCATCATTCTTTACTTCCCACTCAGGATGATCCTGTTTTCAAGGATCAGAGTTAAAAATTTGTGGAAACAATGGAGAAAGTAAAGCGTATTTCCAATGCTGGTGTAAGAAAGTCGAGCGTATTCCCCTTGTTCAAATATCGGTATGCACAATGGGCAGGAGGCTCATCGTATTTTTCACTCAATCGAAATCATTGGAAACTTCTACATGTGCATGGTGCCTTACCCACCCAGGATTTTGCAAGGGTTTGCATAATCATTTTATGCCAGACAGTAATAAGCATTACATGTGATTGCAAAAATAAAAGATCAATCCCTCTGAAGCAGTACAGTCAACTTGGATTCTATATGAAAAAAGGAAAAAATACATGTTACAGTGAACGTTACCTCCTCCACATATGCCAAAAGGTCACGGTCAGAAGGGAACAGCAACATCTGACGTGCATCCTTAATGGAGAGATAATCATATGCCTTCTCACTGCATCCAGCTATCTCATCTCTAAAATTGACAGAACAAATCAACCAAAAAGCCCATTAAGGCATATAATTCATAAATAGACACAAACATATTATTTAAAGAGCTAAACTACACAATATCAGGAAGACGATGGGCTCTAATCATTCACATATACCTAGGAGCCACATATAATAAATTGAACTGCATTGATGCAGAACTCCAAAATTCTAGCCTTTACATTTTCTTTTCGCATGTTTGTATAACTTCTGCAACTATTCAAATATAACCATAAAGAAGCAAAACAACATACCTGACTGTTTTTGCCAGGAGATCCATAAAATAAACATAAGTCTCATGTGGCACTGTCTGCCTAGCACTCAAAACACGGTTGTAAGCCCCCTCCATGAAAGATTGCTCCAGCTCCACAGCATGCTTAATGCAAGGGTTCTCCAAAGCAGCGGATGAAAGCAGTTCCAGTTCAGTGTGGAACTCAGCAATTCTATTCTGGACAAGGAGTCTCAACAGGTTGAGACCTAAAATTGGGTACTCTTGAGGGGATGGTGGAAGACGGTCACTGCTCCAAAAGAAATGTAAATTCATTAACAATCAAACACTTATTTTTCTTTTAAAAAAGACTGAATAAATATAAGATAAACAAAGTCAAAACAGCGTAGGGAGAAAGAGTCAACAGAAGTTCAGCAACAGAAAATGTGAGAAAATAAAACTTCATAGGTAGCTTAAGGGGGTTGATAAATTACCGAGCATCTGTGTAATAGGACTTCAACTGAAAGAAATCCCTTTCAAATGCATCCTGATCCTCAATCTTCACACTAAGAACAACAGCATGCTCATATATATCCCCTGAAAGTTTTCAAACATGAGAAAAAAAAGGTCAGCGAGGCAGTAGTTGGAAGGTGACTACACCAACGAACAATCTTAAACTAGCACACATTTTTGCCACAATGTAATTACACAGCACAATGAAGTATAAAAGCATATCTCCTTCTAACAACAAGACTTGAAACTATGCTTTGCCCCTTCCCTTCCACACCCCAATGCCACTTGAGCTGGAGCTCACAGGAAACTATAAAGCAAGTGTTTGTTTTTCCTTGTGCATTTTTCATGCTATTTACGCAAAGAATTTGGGAACTAAACCAACAGAAAAGTAAGAAGAGCATGTTTGGGTAAAGAATGCTCTACTTGCTAATGTTAATTCACGAATCGCATTAGGAGTGTCTTCAAACAAGGGCGGTAGGCTTCTGAATTCAGTCAGCTTGACCTGAAAAACAACAATGAATACAACTCAGCCCACATACAACAACATAATTCCATGTGTCTTACAAAACCAACAAATAACTTTAAAATTCCTCCAAACGAGCATTTCACTAACTATCAGCTTAAGAACACAGACTGGTAGCTCTACAACACGTTACACGAAATCAGGAAATTTTGAAACTTTAATTCACCAAATCCATAATGTAATTAAAAGGTAACTAGCAAAAGGAAGAGCAAAACGATGCACCCAACACTCTGATTGACCCAAAATCCTAATCATATCGCGGCAATATACAAAGAATCATACTTTAAGTAGACAAAAAATAGAATAAGAGTTACTAAATCATGTGCAGGAGCAGCTGACAATCTCAAATTTGGCAGAAAATTAGGGTTTTGGAGATTGGTACGTTACCTTGAGCTGGGAGAGGAAATTGGAGCAGGTATCGAAATCGTTCCGCACAAATGCCGCTTTGAACCGCTCGAAGAGCTGCGCCACCTCTGTCAGCTTCGGATCCATATCTCGTCTTCCTGTGCTTGCTTGCTTGCTTGCCTCCTCTTCTTCGTCTTCTTCCTCTGAGTGGTTTTGCTTTTCGCTTGCCTTGAGCTTTTATCACTCTTTGCTTCCTCTACAAGAAGAAATTGTATTTTATGGGGCTTTCATTCTGGGTTGGGCTTGGCCTTGGGCCTCAAGGCCCATCATTAATATACTACGTGTCGTAAAATTGAACATAAAGTACGACGAGTCGTTAAGACTCAATTGTCCTACTGCTCCGTCCCCTTATCAATATCCACTCAGCGAGCCACTGACCCAGAAGCTTTCTTCTGCTCAAAACAGAGCTTCAAACAATGGCTTCCACTTCTTCACTCATTTCAACTACTCCTTCGAATTTCCAGTTTTGCCCCAAAGCAATTTCCCAAATTCCATCTCTGCCCCAGACCATCTCCTTCACTCATTTCAACCGAACCAGACCGGGTCTCCGTTCGGGCCTGACCGCCAAAGTCCAGTCACTGGAGTTCTCAGGCTCGTTTTTCGAGGGAGGGTTCCAGTCAGAGGATGATCCGACTTCACCACCCGGGTCGGGTTTAACCGCAGTGGAGGAGAAGGAGGAGCCACCGTGCCCACCGGGGCTCCGACAGTACGAGACCATGGCGGTTCTCAGGCCGGACATGTCGGAGGATGAAAGACTTACTCTTACCCAAAAGTACGAGGAGGTAAACGGATTTTCTATATTTGGGTAAAGTAAAGTTGATTACTTTGGTTCTTAAGATAGGTGGGGTTTATCTATCTGTTTCAATTTTGCTTTGTAATGTGTTTGGTGGCGGAGAAAAAAATGGTGGGAAAGTGAGGAATGTGTTAAATTGAGGTTATTTGAAGACAAATTAACAAAAATGAATTGAATTGAATTGCTCTACATAATTCATAGTGCATGCCCATAACTATTTAATCATAGCACAAAGCTACATTGGCCTTAAGTTGGTGCAATGTAGTTAGTCCTTTTGCCAAAGTGAAGCTGCTTAACTAGTCTCTCTTTATGTCCATTGGAAGAGAAACTAGTGTGTAATAAGAGCTGAAGGTTTGTGACGGCAGAGAGTATTTGATGCACTAAATGCTGAAGGAGTTTGGACACTTCATAGATGTTTAAGTTTGAAAAGCTTACTTTCCTGTGCGGGATGCTTTTCTTTGTTAGAGCTCTATTTTTCAAGACATCACTTTGCTAATGGAAATTGAATCCTCAAACTGCAGTTGGGCTCATCTGTTAATTTAAATTTCAGACTTAAAGAGTACCTTTTCTCCGGAAACTGTGTTTAGGTACCCAGTTGTATTTAGTGAGAAGCTGTCATGTCAGACAGCTCAATTTTTGTGTTAGCAGATATGCCACTTATTGATTTACCCTATACATCCTGTCTAGTTGGAGGTATAAGTTTACCCGATACATCCTATATATTACAAGATAAAACTTAAAAGCACTTGCTCGATCACATCTTAAAATAGTGGTAAACCAGCACTATCTATCATGATATCAAAGTGGGAGATCCTGAATCTGAATTTGTAGACCTTCAACCTCCCAATTTATGTTGATTCTACGTCTCGGAATCTCTAGTGATAAGGAGAGGCAGAGGGCCACACATGAGAGGGAGTAGTGGTAAACTAAAGGCTTTTTATCATTGTATCATGTTGGTTTGTTGTCTGTTATTGTTTTCCATGTTTGTTGTCTGTTATTCTTCTTTATCATTCGATAGAATAAATCAATTGTATGGGATGGGAATCTAGTAGAGTGATGATGATCACGGAGCAATCAATTACAGCGAGAATGGCAAAAACTACACAAGCCTGCCCTTATTAAGACCCTATTTTCTTAATTTTTTAAATGATGTGGCCTTGAACATTAGGATACTGTTGGGCAAAACTGATTAGATTATGACTGTATTTGGACCAAAAGCTTGGAAAAGCTCAGTGGAAATTGTATCATTCTCATGGGTCGCCTAATAATCCCTTAATTGTCAAGAAATGCGAGATTTTTATGTTGTTTGACTTGTCATGCCTTATTTCACCCTCTAGTTTCTATCTATGCTTTTCATGCCATATTTTTAGAACATCTGGAGAACTAGGATGCGGACTTCCTGTTGGTTTTATCATGACAAATTGAAGTTTCATAGTGCATAGATAGGGTATAAGCTTTTTGACATAAATATACACATCCGATGGCTCCGTGATTTACTGTTTAAGAAGAACTTATCGGAAATAAGATGAGGTTTGGCATATGCAATTTACTTAGAGCAGCCTGATATTCCATGCTGAGGATACGACGCCTTTTTTCTTTTTTTCTGATGGTCTGTAATTTGCAGTTGCTTATAGCTGGGGGCGGCATGTATGTGGAGGTCTTCAACAGAGGGGTCATTCCACTAGCCTATGGCATCCAGAAGAAAAACAAAGCTGGAGAGTCTAACACTTACTTGGATGGTATCTACCTACTCTTTACCTACTTCACAAAACCCGACTCTCTCGAAGTTCTTGAAGCGAATCTGAAAGCTGATGATAATGTCATCCGATCAATGAGCTTCAAAATAAGGAAGAGGAAGTACTAGTTTAGTTTTGAATGTACAATGTAATTTTACATGTTTCGAATCTTCCATCCTTTCCTTGTTGTTGAGATTCAGGTCATTCAGTTTGTTTTGTAACATAATTGGATTAATGACCGAAGCAAAAATATGCAGTTGCTAGAATTAACTTGCAATGGTATGAGCATACCTTTTTAATGACCAACTATAAACATCATGTTATATGAATATGAAAGAACATTTTCATCATGATCTCATTTGGTGACTCGGCTTGGATTGGATTGTAATGGAATTCAAGCCAGTCTTTATGTTGACTCACCAAACATTGTCATGAATGCCAAAACAAGAAAGCATTATCAACGTGTTGAATCTCCACTTTCTTTGTACATCAGATCTTCTGAAATCATAAAAATCTAACACTAGAACTTCAGCAATCATAAAAATCATAAAAATCAAACACTAAAATCATAAAAAAAGTTGAATGAGATGCTGAAATTATAAAAATCTAACACTAGAACTTCTGCAATCAATAGAATATATGTATGTGTGATGTCCTAGGTTCATCTCATTGCTCAAATGGTCTTTTCTTTTCAAGACAGCAGACTGCACGATCGCAATGGTGGGAGTTTGCTTTTTGACAAAAATTGAACCAAATTCATATTTAATTGTGTTATTTTATGGTTTTCTATAGTTTTGGCTATAATCCCCTCCTTGGATTAGCACTAATTAACACTCACTTATGTCTTTAATCATGGGAGCTATGGTGTGTCAGCATGATGACACAGTCACAAGCCGCCGCTTAATAGTAGCTAGATTGGAGGCATTCTTTTCATTTGTACATGCGGATTCCATAAGCTGCTAAAAAATTACTGAGATGTAAAGCAGGAGCACTTTACTCAGTAAAAACAAATGCGCGAAGTAGGAAATGGGCCAGACCAAAATTTTAGAAAGGGCTTTTTTTAATAGCTAGAGAATCTGATTGTGCTGCAGAATGAGATATGATCTTCAATCCACTTTGTGAGAGAGAGCTTTCTTCATGATCCACCAACGGCACTGAAATCTCTCCAACTCAATTAAGGGTCACCCCCAACCCAAATTGCATCCTAGAAAAGCTTAAGAGAGGACAAGTTGAACCAATGAATAACATAAAATAAATGCGAAATACATTAAAGAAATATATAGCAGAAAAGTGGGGAACTGCAAAAAAGTTGTTCTGAAATCATGTAGACCGCGATTCTTTTATAAAAAAAATTCATTTCTTTTTGGTCATGCTTGCATAAGTGGCGAGTTAAAGAATGATTTGGGTCTTTGTACATGAGAATATGGATGCTTTGCACTTTACTTCATGTCTTCAATTTCTCACTGCACAGATAGCTACTAACCTACTCTGAGCAGCTGTAAAAAATTCAGTCATTCAAATCTCTACCTGAAGCCATCTTTGCGTTCTGCATGTTAATAACCCAAAATAAGAAAACAACAATGTTTTTTTCATTTCTTTTTAGGATTTATATTTTTCTCTTCAAGTTTTTATTTGCTTCTTTTACAGTTTATCTCCCGGGGTCCTAAAATAGAGCTCTCGTAGACTCTGATTATTTTTCCTTGTTTCAAACTTCCATTTCTCAAAAATAAAACTAAAACAAAACTCTCTGTCTCTCTGTCTCTCTGTCTCTCTGTCTCTCTCTCCAATTTTTTTTTGTCTCTCCTCGCTTTATTATGATCTCACTTGGTAAATTCTTAGGTTTGACATTGGAGACGCCATGCTTTTTTATGCTTCCTATTGTATGGTGATACTATATGTTGCTCAATCTCTTCTTCCTATTGTATGGTGATACTATATTCTTGTGGTTATATAATGATGAAAAGCTCACAGCACCAACCTCACTTTACTTTAGTGCATGAAAGAAATAATTCTTCTTTTTTCTTTCTTGGCTAGTTAGTCATGAGATAAAGGTCTAAAACAACTTGAAAGGGAAACAATTCTTCCTTTGATCATTAACAAGAATAAGTTCTTTGCTTATATGATATAAAAACAAAGGCTTAACTGGCCCCAGTATAACCCCTTCATCTGTGCCACAGTGTATCCCTTAAATGCTAGTTAGATATAGACCAAGATTAAGGGATAGCAACTCAAGTGGTTAAGAGCAGTTATTTTTTGCACCCGAGGTTCTGTGTTCGAATCCCCCCTCCTCAATATCTCTCGTATAAAAAGTATATATAAAAATTATGCTGATATGTTAACATGCCAACAACTTGATGTTCATTGATGAACATGCAGGCCTAATTATATATAATTGTAAGCTCAGTTACTCATGATGTACCAAAAATATATTTAAGGTAGAGAAGTGTCAATTAATTAGTTGAAGTTGAGACAAACCATACCTTGCTAACAGCCTAACTCCATACAAACCTGTATTATGGCTTGTAGGTTTGTTAGGTCATCGACCTGCCAACCATGAATGATCAGATCGATCAACAGCTCAAGTAAGACCAATGCGACCTTTCTTGACCTAACCGTAATTTTCTTCTATTTTTTTAATTGAATTCAACGTTTTAATATATCATAATTACCAGTAAGAACTCTGGGTCTCAGTGCTTCATGTTTTAGCTAGTGATAGACATGGGTGTCCCATCATTGAAATTACCTTTCTTTTTTTTTCGTCGAACCATCATTGAAATTACTGGAAATAAGGAATATAATACCATCATGTTCATGGCATCATGTAAATTTGATCTCAAAAGCTTACTGCTATGGATTTTTTTATTTCTTTGATAAGATGATGGTTCCTATTATATATTAACAAAGGTATATTGTGTCCTTTCCCCAATCCAAAAGCAATCATTGTGTACCTTGCCCTTGTGTGAGTTCTCAGTTCTCGTTCAACCCAAAAAGATTGAACACACACTTTAAAAAAATATATATAAAAAACTCATGTTCCATCTATCCAGCACTGTAAGTGGATCATAGTTACCTCTAAAACCTTGAGTTACTAAGTTATGGAAACTCAGATCGTTTCTTTTTGGTTACATTAAAAAGAATCAAACCTTGAGTTACACGTTTCAATTTTTATCAATAGTTTAAAATATTGACTAACGGGTAATATAACATGTTAAATTGTCTGACGAAATAGAATTACTATACCCTTATTTAATACTTTAAATATATAAAGCGAAATAAAATCTCTCAACACTTCTTTGGTATGAAAATGATCTCTACTCTCATAGTACCTGAACCAACCCCACCCCAAGCTCTCTCCATAAATACACTCAACAAGCCTTTTCTACTTTCCCTCACATATCTTCACCTAACAGGAAAACTAATCTCACACTTTCAGAAGCTAGCTCAGCTTGGGTGAGAGATGAGTAGTCTTCCTCAAACTCCAGCCAGTTCTACCAATTCTCACCTTTATCCTCAAGCTCTCCAACTTAAACTTTACCAGGCCTTCATTTTCTCAATTCCTATCCTTTTCTCCATCATTCTCTTTCTCTTGTTCTACTTGTTCTACCTCAAAAGGAGAGCCTCCACTCTCTCATCTTCTCCACCAATTCTTCCCAGAAGTTATCAGGACCAATCTGCAGCCACCACCTACCATGTTTCTTCTGTAAGTCCTCTGTTTTTCTGCTACATATATTTACATGCATGCATCTTGTTTATGTTCTTCAATATATATTGAGTTCCAATAGCATTGCAAATTGCAATTACAGATCATTTCAACTTAAATTAATTATAGAGTTCAGATTATAATTTCACAATCCAACTTAACATGATCTAATTCTTTTTCTTTTCTTTTGCTTTATATTGTCTAGGATTGTCCTGTGGGTTTGAAGGGAGAGCTGAAAGAGAAGCTTCAGACAATTTTATTTGATGAAGAACAGAGGAAAAAGGATGCACAGTAAGTTTAAATTACTTCTTCTACCATTGATTTGATTTTCCTCCATATTGAGTTTTTGACACCCCAAAATGAAATTGAATTGGTCTTTTTATTAGAGACACCTACCAATGCGGTCTATAATCAATCATGCCCTACAAGTGGCATGTGCCAAGATGGTGTCATTTCACATCTTGAAGTTGAAAAGCCAATGCACTTAGCAACCAACTATTCAGATATATGACCACTTAAAAGAAAACCCAATAGCGCAATAACACGCGGTATAACTTTTTCACATATCATTGCATTATTAGCTGGGAATAGAAAAACAGTGTTATCTCTGTAACAAAAAAGTTTTTCTGCTTACTTAGACAAGGAAATATCCTAGTGATCAACCAATTTTATTCTTGCAACCAGTTATGGCCTAAAAAGGCTAGCATGGTAGAAGTAAGAACCTTTAATTCTCTTCCCATGTCAGTTTAGAACCTCTCATGGCAACCACTATTTTCTTAAAAGTGCTTTTGTGTGTGTGTGTGTGTGTGTGTGAGAGAGAGAGAGAGAGAAAGAGATAAGTAGTAGAATATATGACAAGACATCTTTGGAGGAGACAAAACGTGAATAAAGTTTGAATACAATTGTGTGTGCAATCGCTTTCTAAGATTCTTCACTCAAAGTGGATAAACAACACTGAAATCTCAGCACCCATGAACAGCCTCTCATTAACTACTTCTCTATCTTTCTGGCCACTTTTTAGTTTGGTGCTTTTTCTAAGTGTTTGCTCTGTCTTCTGAAATTGATCAAATTACCAAATTTCAAGTTAGGCTAAAATTGGGTTGGTTATAAGCCAAAATTTGGTTTTGTGACAGATGCTGTGTTTGCTTGGGAGATTTCGAAATGGAAGAGGAGTTGCTGCAGGTTATATCGTGCAGACACGTGTTTCATGTTGATTGCATACATCATTGGCTACACAACAACACAACTTGCCCACTTTGTAGATGCTCTGTGATCCCCATCAGTACCAAGCTTGATAGTCCTGCACTACAGGCACTACCTAGTGTGTCCAGTCCAGGACAGCACAACCCTAGCATAATAGTCTCCAACCACAGTCCTGGGATTATATTATTGGACCAACAACATCAACAACAGCATCAATTGGTCAGTAATGTTACTTCAAATGTAACAACACCAGTTGAGGGTTCGTCAAGTGAGGGTGGGGGTGCAATTTTGAGGGACTCTGGCATGTCATCTGGGCATTATACTAATGAAGATTTGAGAGAGCCAGTTGTTGTGTGTATCCAAACACATGATTTGTCATGAGACAAATCATGTTTCTATCTCTTTCTTCACAAATAAGAAGGCTTGAACGTGTACACGTATGGGTGACTATGCCCAACTGCACGTGATAGTGTTGAATGAGAGTACACTCACGTGCCGATTGACATATTCTTTTAGCAATATTTCTGAGTGAGCATTCCAGTTTTGGCGGAGCAACTAGCTAGATGAAAGACTATAGTTATATTTCGAATTAGGGAATTGGAGAGAAGGTCAGCTTGTTTTTTCTTAAACCTCAATGAAGGTGGCTGCAAATATGTAATTGTCATAAACCTCGACCGAGAGAGTTTAGTGTAATTTGAAGTACCTTCTTTCAACTGGAAGTTCACAACATGTGTTATGATTGTTATAATGGGTTATTTTTGTTGAATGGGAAAATCACACTATTTTCTGAGCACAATTTACAATAATTCACACCCAAAAAAAAATAATAATAATAAACAAAAAGTCTAAAAATCATCGTCGACAGCAGGGTTCGAACCTGCGCGGGCGAAGCCCAACAGATTTCAAGTCTGTCTCCTTAACCACTCGGACATATCGACCACTTGTGATACCCTATTAAATTCAACCTATAAATCTATATCGCAGTGAAACGTGCAATGTTCACTGTAAAATTGTTGATTGCTAAAATACACTTTTGGCAGCTGAGTTCCTTAGAGTAACATGAGCTGCCAGATAAAGAAGAAATACTAGAAATGTTGCAACAACGCTAGTTTTTCTAGGAATTTTTCCTCCATCACTCCTAAAAATTATGGCTTCATAAATTGGAATGCAGTTCACTACGCCAAAACCAGCAATAAAAATCTGCACAAACAATCCCTCCAGATTATTATTGTTGCCTCTGAAAACCTCTACATGGCCCCAAGCGAAGGCAGCCAAGTTGACAATGGCAGCCATTGTTAGGGGCACAAACAAGGGCGATGAGACACCAAACTCCATGGTCCCTTGTTCATATCTTTTTCTTTGGTCTTCGTCAAGGACTTTGCTTGTCAGATTAAACCCATGTGTGGAAATGCCTGAGTACTTGAGCAAGAACTCAATGAACCCAAACATGTAGCTTGAGAGTCCCCTAATGATCCACATCCTTTGGTCATTCCACCACCTATAGAATGTTCCTCCGGCTAACACAAAGTCTAGGAAGTCTTGAATGTATGCTCCGAGGAAAAGATACACGTACAAGAGAAACCATGGCTCCAAAACCTGCAATGTAAACATGTAAATCTTATCAAATTGAACACATACTGAAGACATACATGTACCACATTTATTGATAGCATTATCCATATATACATGCATTTCACGTTTATTACCTTCGGGAAGATAGTGACTCCATTGAGGAGAGTTAGCTGGGGGAGGAAGGCATACGAGATGATTGGAATTGACCAAATGGGCCAAAATCCGGAGTGAGCATAAGCAAGGCCCATCAAAGGGCCCATGGCCCGAGTGCCAAATGTGATTGGACTGAACTTGGAGAAAGCCACCTCAAGGAGGCCTACGGCCCATCGCTTGTTTTGGTTCAGCACTTCAACAAGGTTGATTGGGATATCTCCATAAAATGCTGCCCTATCAGGATGACAAAATATTGACTTCCATCCCTCACACTGCAAACGATAGCCAGTGAAGTAATCCTCTACCAGTGAGCCATACCTTACACCTATCTGCACAATTAAAACAACATAACTTATCAATATACCACTGTTGTTGCTTCGCATGAAATTGCTCGATGTTCTTTTGATGTCATGATCATGAGTATGAGGCAACATGTTCGACAAAATGCCTAAAAAATGCTGAGGTAGGATAGGGAACCAAATGCAATCAGGGAAATTGATGTTTGGGCTTCATCTTATTCGTCTTAATTATGTGCTACTAAATAATGCAACGAATACACATTGACAGTCAAATCGTGTTGTATGTTGATGTGATTAGAAAATACGATCCCTCTAGCATTATTCTATAGTAAGCAAAAGTTTAGTTGACTTACCTTCAAGCCCCAATTGGTATTGTTCTCATAATTGCAAGCAGCAACACAATATGCCAATTCCATAACCTCCGAAGACCAAATGTGCTTGTCCACTAACTTGTTAGGACTTAGCTGAGGGATTTCAGGAGGCAAAAAATTTGAGGGGCCTCCAAAAAATGCTCTTCTAGTGAAAAAACAACCTGTTCCTAAATGATTTGATCCAGAGAGCCCATTCATTCCCATTGGATCAATTTGAAACAGACGCTTGTATTCGCATGCATATATGTCGTTTTTGTTAATGCCACGAAAAAGCTGAGGAAATTGGACATAGCCTAACTTGGGTCGAACTTCAGGGTCTAATATATAGCATAACGCACGACGTGCAGTTTGAGGGTCATTAGAGTGCATGTCACAATCTAGGGTCAAAATTATTGGCGCATTGGTCATGATGGCTGAAACTCGAAGCTTTCATTCAAATTAAAAAAAAAACAAAGTAAATCAGTAAAATGTGTAACATAAATTATGTTCAAAATTTCAAAATTAGTTATTTATGTAAAGAAGCTTACCAGGACATTAAGCGCACCAGCTTTGAAATGGTGGGTTGATGTCTTGCTTTTTTCTCTCGAGACATATATTAGGTTTGGCATTAAATTGCCTGTGATGTCTTTGTCTTTGTTACTCTCCAATAAAACCTGCTCACGGTTATTGGCAAAAAGATTTTAATGGAATGGATTTTTATTTTTATTTTTTCCTTTCATACTACTGGACTAGAACCCGTTGGCGAAATGAAATTTTTTTAGTGTTGACAAAGTCAGATATGTTAAGCAATATATATTACATTTACCTGAATGACAGTGGGGTGATCTTGGCGTGTAAATTCCTCCGTCCATTTGCTAAAAGCCTGGATTTCTTCTTCTCCGGTTATATATTCTTGGGCAACTTTACCTCTCTCAATTACATTTTTAACCCTCGCTTTCATTCTTTTGTACATCACCTGTGAATATAAATACATAATCTTTTAGTCGTTTATCTTACCTACCCATGTAAATTTTCAAAAAGAAAAAAGAAAATAGTATGTAACATTATTTTACCTTAATATTCTCAACTTGATCAGAAAGGTGAGAATCACGATCTATGGCAAAATAAGCTTCCGGGCTGCACTCAACTATGTTGTTGTTCCTGCAGAAAGGTAACCAATGGCTTGCAAACTTGGCAGCCTCCATGAGAGCAAAGAGAGTCAGAGCCGAGCCCCCGTCATCCGAAACGTACACTGAAACTTTCTGTATCGGATAATCATAAGCCATGACCGATAAGGCCGTGTTCACAACGTTCATTGGGGGCTCTTTATAGGGATCGGCAGTGCTTATGAACACGTCCAGTGCTGGAAAATCCGATTCTTCGACGACCCTTTTGAGGTTTTCTGGGAATTCCTTGCGATAAATCGGACGCATGTGGAAAGACTGTGTGGTGGCGAACATGAAAGCAAGAATAGAGTCCGAGATGAGGAAGGTGAGGGTGATGAAGAAGGAGGTGAGGGTTGTGGAGTTGAGGAGAGAGAGTGCATGGTGAGAAAGTAAGGCTAAGGTGGCACACGCATAAACCACCGCGAAGATGCGGTTCGCGGTGGTTCGGCGAGAGGGCTTGTGAGTGTGAAGTGGGAGGCCATGGGTGTTGGAGGACATGGTGTAACATTTGAATTTCTAATGAATCGTTTTGGATTAAAAGTAAAGTTATAGAACGAATGTCGCGGTACCTATGAATTGTTTAATTTAATAAAATTATTAAATGTGGAAAACGACCTCCAATATATATAAGTTATGGAAAAAGGGACAAGATGTACCAACTACCAATCGTACCCATAGAAACTGGTGGATCAATATAACTTGTAAAGATGGGTGCCGTAAGGTCAAGATCCACTCTCAAAATTCATCGATAAAAAAAATTATTTTTATATATAAATGTCAAAACCAGAGAGTTAGTCTATACTTAATTTGCGTGAACCTTTTTTTCACTGAAAAAAAAATTGCACCCAAGAAAGAATATTTAGGTTGATGATTGATGAAGGATATACAAATACTAGTCAATGCTGACAATATAAAATAAAAAGGAGAAAGAAAATGGACGCTTGCTTTCGTATGACTGATCTGATTTTTTTACTTTTTTATTTTGTCGGAGTATATGACTGATCTCTTTAACTGTCAATAAATTCTACATAAGATATATATAAAAGTAGAGTGTTGTTAAACGTATCTTAAAATTAATTGAGTACACACTCTATGGTCTACATACACTTTAATATTTTAATCAAAATATAAAATTAACTAAGTACACCATATTTAACTACTAAAAATACCCTTGGTATACCCTAATACACTCTATCACACAACACCCTAATACCAATTCTAAGCCAAGTTTATCTTTTTACATGAATTCGTGCCCTCTTTTTAGATTTTGGATTCGCATCAAAATCTTTAATTTCGTAACCTGTTGTGGGAGTAGACTTGCTAGCTCCTTCAATTCAAAGCTTGATTCTTGCAAATCCTTGTAATTTTCTTCGAAATATGTGAAGGGGACTCAAACATCTCTGTCAAATTACTAGTGAAATGCATCATCACTAGTCTGAAATCTTTGAGAAATTTGGATGCTTCCAAGTTAGAATAAAAGTTTACACCCTGGGATTTTAAAGTCATCCACTTCAACTTTATTGTATGGATGATGTTGAACTAAGAAGTCAAACTGGAACAAACTTTTTTGATTCAAATATGGCTGCCTATCTTTTGCATCAGAAAGAATCAAGTACATGGAGAAACGCCGACACTTATCTATTGCCGTGTTTGTAAGGAAGCTCTAAACCTTTGAAGCAACAAAGGCCCTTAAAATTATACGAAAACTTCTCTACGTTTGATTAAGGTTGAATATGATGAGTATAATGTACTTATGAAAATTATATTTGTTTCACAATTCCATATATCCTTTTTGGTCATCTTATATTAGGATAAATTAGTAATTCAATAAATACTTTGGTAGTAGGGTGTATTCAGTTAATTTTAGGCTCTATTCAAAAGAATATAAAGAAAGAAAAAAAAAAAAGATGACTTGTCTACGCAAACAACTTGGCCATATAGCAATTCAATATAACCCTTTTGGGCTTTAACTTTGTTTTACCACATTTATTTATAATATTGATGACCGTCTCTCTAATACAAGTGGGCTCCACAAAATTGATGACCACCTCTTTAATAGAGGTTGGCTCCACTAGTGTATGTGGAACCCACCTGTATTAGATAGGTGATCAACAATATAATCAGTAAATACGGTCCAAATATCAACACCCTTTTTTTTATGTGCCTAAAACTAAAAGTACACTTTTTGGCAGTGTCACTTCCTTAGAGCAACATAAGCTGCTGCATAGAGAGCTAATGCTAGAAATGCTGAAATTGCAGTAATTTTTGTTGGAATTCTTCCTCTATCTCTCCTACTGATCATGGGTTCATAAATCGGCACTACTACAAAAAAGGCCAAAGACGACGGGAATTCACCGTCGTGTATTCAGTTTTCAAACTGTCGTGAAATCGACCGACATCTATTTGGGTGTCAAACTACGATGGCTTTTCACCGTCATTGTTTATCCATAACGACGACGGTTTTTAAAGAAAATCGTCGTTGTTTAGAGGTAAAGATCGTTAATTATATGAGGAAATACAACTATTTTTAATAAAACTGTCGTGTATTATATGTAAAGATGACGATTTTTTTATGAAAACCGTCGTGGATTGTTTATAAAGACGTCATCTTTACATACAGTAGACGACCTTTTTTTTGTAAAAAGCGTCATCTTTACGTACAATAGACGACGATTTTTTTTATAAAAAGCATTATCTTTACGTACAATAGACAACAGCTTTTTTATAAAAAGCGTCATCTTTGCGTACAATAGACGACGGTTTTTTATAAAAAGCTTCATCTTTACGTACAATAGACGACGGTTTTTTTTTAATAAAAAACGTCATCTTTACTTACAATAGACGACGGTTTTTTATTATAAAAAACATCATCTTTACATACAATAGACGACAGTTTTTTTTAAAAAGCGTCATCTTTACATACAATAGACGACGGTTTTTATAAAAAAACGTCATCTTTACGTACAATAATGCTTTTTGATTTCCTATGATGCTATACAATGATTTTAACTAGAAAACCAACCATAATGCTTTATTAATGAATATATAATAGTTTCTTTCATAAAACTTGAAGATTCAATAGTTATTACATAGTTAACCAATCTTTATTCTACAACAAACATAATTCCTAACAAGACCTACGTATTCCTAATCCAAGCATTCCTCATCCAAACATACAAATGATGCACAACTGAAGTCTCCTCCATCATCCCTGTAAATAAATCAAAATGACAAAGAGAGAAAAAAAGAAGAAGCTAAGATTATAAACATAAAAAATTAGGTGGAAGAGAAATTTTACCATTGGTCCATATTTCCATAGAAAACTTGTAAAATGAGCATAAAAAAGACCATCGAGAACCTGCAAATTTTCAACAACAAAAAAACATACGACTCACATAGAAAACCTACAAAAGAAAAAGTTATAAATCTGCAAGTTTCCTCATCATCTCCTAATAACCAAATCAGAAAATCTAAAAAGAAACCAGAAAAAAAAATGTAAACAAATCAGACAAATCAAAAGAGACAAAATCTGAAATTAGGGAGACAAAGAACATACCAAAAACGCAAAGAGACTAATCCAGAATTCACTAGCAAGATATAGAAGGGTATTAAGAGCTTAGGTGACTTTCAAATCAAACCTTTCAACCAGCTTTGATTCTTAAATACAGAACATCCCTCTACATCTTATGGATTTGCTAAGACCTCAATCTCTCAACTCCTTCATTGATATCGATTTTTTGATGATTTTGTAGAGAGTTTCATGATGGTGTTTTAGAGAGTGCAGGAGGGTTTCAAGGAGGGAGAGATAAGGTTTTCAGAGACGGGGGAAAATTTGAAAATTTGTCGAGCGCGAATTCACTTAAATAGACTTTTTTTAGCGTGTTTTAAAAGACGATGCTTGTTAATGAGAGATAAGATTTTCAAAGACGGGTGAAATTTTGAAAATTTGTTGAGCGCGAATTCACTTAAGCGGCCATTTTTTAGCGTGTTTTAAAAGACGACGTTTTTTTTTAAAAAAAATTATCATCTTTACATATAATAGACGACGGTTTTTTTTATAAAAAGCGTCATCTTTACATATAATAGACGACGATTTTTATAAAAAGCGTCATCTTTACATACAATAGACGACGGTTTTTTATTAAAAAACGTCATCTTTACGTACAATAGACGACGGTTTTATAAAAAGCGTCATCTTTACATACAATAGACGATTTTTTACCGCTACACTTCTTGACCCTATATGAATACAATGACTGAATTTGATCTTCAATTTAAAATATTTACACTAGTGGATACCACAAAATCTTATGTTATATTTAACGAAAGTATAAATAAACTCTTAATTGTTAGTGAATATTTTTTTTATGGCATACACATTTTAAGAAACTAGTTTCAACGATCCAACCCATCAAACTTGTTTGTTTATACTTCGAGATCATAAACGCCAAAAATCGGAAAAAATAAACATTCAGATATCAAGTAACGGAACAAAAAATTTCGACGGTTATAAATGAAAAATCATGATTTAACGGTTATTTTAACTCCGATTTTGATGATTTTTTACCGCTACACTCCTTGACCCTATATGAATACAATGATTGAATTTGATCTTCAATTTAAAATATTTACACTAGTAGATACCACAAAATCTTATGTTATATTTAACAAAAGTATAGAAAAACTCTTAATTGTTAGACGACGGTTTTTTTTTATAAAAAGTGTCATCTTTACATATAATAGACGACGGTTTTTTATAAAAGCGTCATCTTTACGTAAAATAGACGACGGTTTTTATAAAAAGCGTCATCTTTACGTACAATAGACGACAGTTTTTTTTATAAAAAGCGTCATCTTTACGTACAATAGACGACGGTTTTTAAAAAAAGCGTCATCTTTACATACAATAGACGACGGTTTTTATAAAAAGCGTCATCTTTATATACAATAAATGACGGTTTTTATAAAAAGCGTCATCTTTACATACAATAAACGATGATTTTTTAAAAGCGTCATCTTTACATACAATAGACGACGATTTTTATAAAAAGCGTCATCTTTACATACAATAAACGACAGTTTTTCTAAAAAGCGTCATCTTTACATACAATAGACGACGGTTTTTATAAAAAACGTCATCTTTACATACAATAAACGACGGTTTTTTAAAAGCGTCATCTTTACATACAATAGACGACGGTTTTTATAAAAAAACGTCATCTTTACATACAGTAGACGACGGTTTTTTATAAAAAGCGTCATCTTTACATACAATAGACGACCTTTTTTTATAAAAAAAAACGTCATCTTTACATATAACAGACAACTTTTTTTATAAAAAGCGTCATCTTTACATACAATAGACGACGTTTTTATAAAAAGTATCATCTTTACATACAATAGACGACGATTTATAAAAATAGTCATCTTTACATACAATAGACGACGGGTTTTATAAAAAGCGTCATCTTTACATATAATAGACGACGGTTTTTATAAAAAGCGTCATCTTTATATATAATAGACGACCTTTTTTTATATATAAAAAACATCATCTTTACATACAATAGACGACCCTTTTTTTTATTTATAAAAAGCGTTATCTTTACATATAGTAGACAACTTTTTTTATAAAAAGCATCATCTTTACATACAATAGACGACGGTTTTTATAAAAAGTGTCATCTTTACATACAATAGACGACGACTTATAAAAAGAGTCATCTTTACATACAATTGACGACGGTTTTATAAAAAGCGTCATCTTTACATACGATAGATGACGGTTTTTATAAAAAGCGTCATCTTTACATATAATAGACAATGGTTTTTATAAAAAGCGTCATCTTTACATATAATAGACGACAGTTTGTATAAAAATCGTCATCTTTACATATAATAAACGACGGTTTTTATCAAAACAACCACGTCTTTACCAAAAAAATGTCACTTGATTTTTAAAAGACGACGCTTGTCATACCTGCTGTCATTGTTTTTTGGTCAGATTTTAACTCTGAAGAAAACCTTTTTAATAAGACGACGCTTTTTTATTTGTGTGCGTCATTATAAAAAAATATTCAACAGTACCTCCAGTTTTTAGTTGTTTAAGTCACTTATCCACGACGGTTTTTTGTTACCGTCGTCTTTTTAAATACAACGACGGTTTTTTCTTCTATCGTCGTCTTTTTTTGGTTGTCTTTTTCACTTTTTGTAGTAGTGCGGTTTGCAATTCAATATGCCAAAACTAGCTATACACATCTGCATGAACAGTTCCTCCAGGCTATTGCTGCCTCTGATAAGCTCTACATTCCCCCAAGCAAAGGCAACCAAGTTGACAATGGCAGCCATTGCAAGGGGCACAAACAAGGGTGATGAAACTCCAAACTCAATGCTTCCTTGTTCGTATCTTTTGCTTTGGTCCTCATTAAGGACTTTGCTTGTCACATTGAACCCATGCGAGGCAATGCCTAAGGATTTAAGAGAGAACTCAATGGTTCCAAACAAGAAGCTTGAAAGTCCCCTAATCATCCACATCCTTTGGTCATTCCACCACCTATGGAATGTTCCTCCAGCTAACACAAAATCTAGGAGATCTTGACCGTAGGCTCCGATACAAAGATACACATACAAGAGAAACCGTGGATATGAAACCTCCCCAAATAAATATTACGTATCGACTGTCTGACAATAGAATATTTCACATTTATCTAGAAGAAGAAATTGAGAAGGGTAAATATACATTACCTTTGGAAATATAGTGAATCAATTTAACAGAGCTAGTTGGGGGAGGAAGGCGTATGTGGTGATTGGAATGGACCAAATGGGCCAAAATGCATAGTGAGCATAAGCAAGGCCCATGAAAGGGCCCATGGCCCGAGTGCCATGTGTAATTGGACTATGCTTGGAGAAAGCCACCTCAAGGTCCCCTATGGACCACCTTTTGTTTTGATTCAACACATCAACAAGGTTCATTGGAGCATCCCCATAAAATGCTGCCCTATCTGGATGGCAGAATATAGACTTCCATCCCTCACAATGCATTTGATAACCAGTGAAGAAATCCTCCACAAGTGAGCCATATCTTACACCAATATACACAATTTACACAATTTTTTATTTTTTATTATTTTTTACAAAGCGATATTTTAACAACTGTAATGTATGGAGAGAGGGATCGAAGTCGGGTGCAAGGAGACCGACACATTACCCGACCAATTGGCCTAACCCACAATTGCATCAATTTCCAAATTTAAAATAAATAAATAAAGGAGAAGTTTAAAAGAGTAATTACATATTTGGCTGAATTACCTCTAAGCCCCAAGTGGTATTCTTCCCATAGTTGCAACCGGCAACATGGTGAGCCAATTCCAAAACCTCTTGAGACTGAATGGGTTTGTCCAAAACATTTTTTGGACCATGTTGGGGCATTTCAAGAAGTAAAAGATGTGAGGGGCCGCCAAAGAAAACCCTTCTAGAGAAAAAGCACCATGTTCCTAAATAATTTGGTCCCAATAGCCCGTTCATTCCGAAAGGGTTAATTTTGTACAAACGTTTGTGCTCGCATGCATATATGTCCTTCTTGTTGATGCCACGAAAACGTTGAGTAAACTGCACAAACCCTAAGTTGGATCGAAATTTGGGGTCCGATAAATAACATAGGGCATGATGGGATGTTTAAGGGTCATTAGAGTAGGTGTCACAATCCAGAGTCAAGATTGTTGGAGCATTGGTCATGGTGGCTGAAACTCGAAGCTTTTTGTTACACCACACCAATGCATAAATGAATGAAATTAATTAATAAAGAGATGTTTGAATGGGAAAAATAAGTATGTAGGAAAGCTTACAAGGGCATTAAGGGCACCAACTTTAAAATGGTGGGGTGATGTCCTGCATTTTTCTCTCGACACGTATATTAGGTTTGGCATCGAATGTGCTGTGATGTCTTTGTACTTGCTATTGTCCAAAATAATCTGCTCGATCATATTACACACATATATGCATATGCATTAGATTTGAACTCGGATCATCTTTAACAGGGGCACAGATCCAGCCATGTCTGGATAGGGCTATAGCCGAACTGAAATTTGAAAAGGAAATTTCCTAGGTATAAGTTAGTCTATCTTATTTTTGAATCCTGGGTCGATGCATGTTTTCTAGCCAAATAAAAATTAAGTGTCACTAGAGAGAATAATCATGAGTACGTTATTAAATAATTTATAACCATGACAAATTGTCTAGTAAGATTATTGAAATGATTACTGTTGCTTTGAGGTAACCTTTGCTCATTTTTTAATGATTAGGGAAAGGTGAGCTTAAGAATCAAAGTAGTCTAATCATATCATCGTAAAAGTGAGAATAAAGAGCTCTACCACTTGAGAATGATCCACTGCAAAATAAGCTTCTGGGTTGCACTCCACTATCATGTTCTTTCTACAAAAAGGCAACCAGTGCCTTGCAAACTTGGCAGCCTCCAAGAAAGCAAAGAGAGTCAGAGCCGAGCCGCCATAGTCCAAACCATACACCGATACCTTGTCGGTCGGGTAATCATAAGCCATGACCGATGAGGCCGTGTTCACCACGTTCATTGGCGGCTCCTTGTCTGGATCAGCAGTGCATATGAACACGTCCAGTGCTGGAAAGTCCGATTCTTCCACGACCTTTTTGAGGTTTTCTGGGAATTCGATTCGATATATTGGATTCATCCGAAAAGATTGTGTGGTGGTGAACATAAAAGCGAGGACAGAGTCGGAGATGAGGAGGATGAGGGTGATGAAGAAAGAAGGGAGGGTTTTGGAGTGGAGCAGTGAGAGTGCATGGTGATAGAGTAGGGCTAAGATGGCACACAAATGAACCACTGCAAACAGGCGGTTCGCGGTGGTTCTACGAGAGGGTTGGTGAGTGTGAAGCGGGTGCTCATCATACGTGGTGGACATGGTGGTGTTGCTATGTCGCAGGCATTGGATGAGTTTATAATAAAATTTGTCCCCCTTTCCCTCCACCTTCCCTAGAGAATCTGCCCTACAACTGGGGATATACTTGCCCTATGGCCATAAACAACTCGGATTTGGACCATGATGATTATTTTCTTGTTGGAATATATGATCTGCAATTATTCTTGTTACAATTTTTTGTTTGAAACGCAGCATTATGTGAGAAGCTGCATAAGAGTGCGATCCATGTTAGGCCAGTCACATTCAAATCCACAATAACAAATAATTTCCAGATTTTTGCAATTCCATTATTTATAGAAAGAGATGTTTTTGACACTTCTACCATATTAATTTTCTCCTTCGAAAAAACATTTTGACCATTCTGAAGTGTTTTTGACCTGTGTATGGTTCACACTTCTCTACTTGTAGCATCTCTATCTCATAAAATTGTGTTTTCATTTTCTTTATTTCATATTATTAGTTTTATATAATTTAGATATCATGTGTTTATGAAAACTCCTTTTCTTAAGTAATTAAAATAGATCTATGGATGATTCCATAATTTACAAATATGATTTTATTAGCTTTCCTTTTTGCTTTTAGGTAGTTTTCATGAGGTTTTGTTTTTTGGACATTGGAGTTCTAAAATAATTTTCATCCAATGTTACTTACTAGTCATTTCAGACTCGTTCAGTCAATATAAGCATTTGTCTTGCAATATAAATTTGGCAAAAGATCGTTAACCTCATTATCTAGTAGTACCTTCAATTCAATATATGTAAGTCGATATACATCCCCCTTAAATTTAAAATGACCCATTAAGTTTTTCATTATTTATATTAATGTACAAAGAAGTTTCCCAAAAGACCTAAAAGGAAACCTAACACAATGGCGGCGACCAACTTTCTTTTGCAAAGAAGACTGAGTGCAGATAGTAGAACATTTCTTCTCTCAGAAAACTTAGCATTGAGGCCAATGATTAAACAAAACAATGGTCCACAGCTTTGTCGTCAAGCTTTTGGGATCTCTCATAGGGACTCCAAATTCATTAAAAAAAAGCTGTAGGGCTTTAACAACGTTTTATTCGAAATCGCTTTCTCTTAACATAAGCTAAAATACAATTTATCCAATTCTAAATAAATCTAAGAATGAATGGTTTTCGGGGTTCAGTTTCTAAGAGTAACATAAGCTGCTGCATAAAGAGCAAATGCTATAAATGTTGAAACTAAAGTAATTTTTGTAGGAATTTTTCCTTTATCACTCCTAATTATGCCTTCATAAATTGGTATGCAATTTGCTATCCCAAACCCAGCTATGAACATCTGCATCAACAGTCCCTCCAGGCCATTGCTGCCTCTGAAAACCTCTACAGGCCCCCAAGCAAAGGCAGCCAAATTGACAATGGCAGCCGTTGTTAGGGGCACAAACAAAGGTGATGGGACTCCAAACTCCATACTTCCTTGTTCGTACCTTTTGCTTTGGTCCTCGTCAAGGACTTTGCTTGTCACATTGAACCCAAGTGTGGCAATGCCAAAGGACTTGAAGAAGAACTCAATGGATCCAAACATGAAGCTTGATAGTCCCCTAATCAGCCACATCCTTTGGTCACTCCACCACTTTTGGAATGTTACTCCAGTTGAGTAAAAATCTAGAAGATCTTCACCGTAGGCTCCGATGAAAACAAACACATATAAGAGAAACCATGGCTCTGAAACCTGCAATAAGTACTTCAATCTTAGTGCACATCTTGTCCAACCCTTGTATATTTAGATTACTACATTAGACACTTATGAGATGTTGTCAAAATGTTAATATGAATCTTAATTAGGTCAAATTAACATTCTAACATTGCGACATTATATATTAGACTGTTTGATTATGGAAATTAAATTACCAATTATTTAGAAAGTGAAATTGTGAGAAGGGTTACCTTTGGAAATATAGTGAGTCCATTGAGAAGAGATAGTTGGGGTAGAAAGGTATATGCGGTGATTGGAATTGACCAAATGGCCCAAAATGCATACTGACAATAAGCAAGGCCCATGAGCGGCCCAATGGATTTTATGCCAAATGTAATTGGGCTATACTTAGAGAAAGCCACCTCAAGGAGGCCTATGGCCCATCGCTTGGTTTGATTTAAAATATCAATAAGGTTGACTGGGGAATCCCCATAAAATGCTGGCTTATCTGGATTGCAAAATATGGCCTTCCACCCCTCACACTGCAAACGATAACCAGTATAGTAGTCCTCCACCAGCGAACCATATCTCACGCCAATCTACACAATTTAATAACTTAATTCATCAGTTTTTGAATCTAAGTACACGATGACTTTTTTGAAGCAAAAATAACAACTCGCTCAAAAAGAAAGAGTGTACCTTTGATCCCCAATTGGAGTTTTTCTCATAGTTGCAAGCTGCAACATGGTGTGCCAATTCTAGAACCTCTGGACTCTGAATGGGCTTGTCCACCACATTGTTTGGGCCAAGTTGGGGGTTTTCTGGTGGTAAAAACTTCGATGGGCCGCCAAAGAAAACTCTTCTTGAGAAAAAACACCCAGTTCCAACATAATTTGGCCCTAAAACCCCATCCATTCCCTGTGGATTAATTTCAAACAAATGTCTATTTTCAGATGCATACATGTCGCTCTTGTCGATCCCACGAAAGCGTTGAGGAAACTGCACGTACCCTAGTTCAGATTGAATTTTGGGGTCTAAGAAGTAACAGAGGGCACGATGAGGTGTTTGGGGATCATTGGAGAACATGTCACAGTCCAGGGTTAAGACTATTGGAGCATTGGTCATGGCGGCCGACACTCGAAGCTTTTGTTACAACACACCATCAGATAAATATAAATTAGTTGGTGAAGAAATGAAGATGATTAATTAATTATTTGAGAATGAGATGGTTCTGTGAGCCCAAAAAAAAAGGTATGGAAGCTTACAAGAGCATTGAGGGCACCAGCTTTAAAATTGTGGTGTGATGTCCTGCTTTTCTCTCTAGAGACGTATATTAGGTTTGGCAATGAATTGTCTGCAATGTCTCTGTCTTTGCTATTGTCCAAAGAACCTGTCCACGAACATATATGCTTTTAAGTACATACATATACATATATATATATATATATATATATATTTATATATATCACAACATCTATAGCATATTAAACTAGTTCCTTTTTTTTTCTTTTACAAGATTGTTAGTGATTAGTTCCTCACAAGAATGATTATTATTGTCCCAAGTAAAAATTGAGAGAATTTTTTTTTGGTTTAAAATTCAAAGGAAAGGAAGAAAGAATGAAACTCTTATCATGTCGATCGTAATAGTGGGAGAAAGTGGTCCACCAGTTGGGATAGAAAAGTATACCTGAATAATAGTGGGATGATCTTGTCGGGTAAATCCATCTGTCCATTTCCTAAAAGCTAGCCTTTCCCGTTCTCCAGTTATATATTCGTCGCCAACTTTGCCTCTTTCAATTACATTGTTTACCATCACTTTCATGCCTTGGTACATAATCTGTGCCATGATTCAGAGCAAAACATAATTAATAAAGCTTAATCTGGGTTAATTAGGCCAGTCCTGAATGTGATGCGATGCCCATACAACTTGGTCTTGGCTGTTTGTGCCGTCATTGGCTCATGCATTATGAAGAGGATACCATACAACTTGGTGTTGGCTGTTTGTGCCGTCATTGGCTCATGCATTATGAAGAGGATAGGAACCCAAACAAGGTGACAAATAAGTATTGCAGCCGACGTCACGTTTCTGTGTGTTTTCGTTTCTTTGTAGCAAGATCCCATGTTTATTTGTTTCTTGCTTGATACAACCTTTTGTGTTACTGAATACATGAGCAATTTTGGTAGGGGCGTTTCTAAAGATTAAGAAGATCCCCTTTTCAATCTGAGCAAAATATAAACTCCTTTTTATGTAATACCCTAATTACGGTATAACCAAGAAAAGTCATAACAATCAGTATTCATAGTCTAATAACATAAGTATTATATGATCTTCTCTCGTCACAAGATATAATCCCGGCACTATACTTATTTATGTGACAATATAAACTTGATAAGAGGATATTACTACCATACATATTGATTTAGATAAACATATTTATAGTTAATAATTAAGAAAAATTGAAATATGATAATATTACCTTGATCTTGTCAGCTTCAGGTAACCGAGAATGATCCGTTTCAAAGTAAGCTTCAGGGCAGCGTTCCACTATTTTGTTCTCTCTGCAGAAAGGTAGCCAGTGGCTTGCAAACTTGGCGGCCTCCATGAAAGCAAAGAGAGTGAGAGCCGAGCCCCCATCATCTGAAACATACACCGAAACCTTATCGGTTGGATAATCATAAGCCATGACCGATAAGGCTGTGTTTACCACGTTCATTGGTGGCTCTTTGAACGGATCAGCAGTGCATATGAACACGTCCAAAGCTGGGAAATCTGATTCTTTAACAACCCTTTTTAGGTTTTTGGGGAATTCTTTACGATAAATCGGTGTCATACGAGAAGATTGTGCGGTGCTGTACATGAAAGCCAGAATAGAGTCAGAGATGAGGAAGGTGAGGGTGATAAGGAAAGAGGTGAGGGATGTGGAGTGGAGGAGAGAGAGTGCATGGCGGTAGAGAAGGGCTAGGATGGCACACGAGTGAACCACCGCAAACACGCGGTTCGCGGTCGTTCGACGGGAGCGCTTGTGGGTGTGTAGTGGGAGGTCATTATGGGCGGTGGTGGTGGACATGATGGTGCAAGAGTGGAAACTCTGAATTTGTTTGAGTCTCCCTTCTTGTACTTCTGCTATTTCATAGACAAGGCATGAGGTTTAGAAGTTCTTATATAAATGTGTAAAGGTCCTTAGTTTTTCTCTTTAGTATATGCCACACCAGAAAAACTTGTATGAAAATAGGACAACATTGTTTTACTATTCCCTGCCAATCACAATCTGCTACGTGGAAAAGTTATCACTCGTAACATACTATAATTGACAGAATAGCAAAATAATACTATCCTTATTTCATGTAAGTGTTTATCATGCCACAGGCCCCAACACTTTTCGTACGTTTTGATGCATCTCTATCAACCATCAACCATTTTAAAACCAAAGACTTTGGAGACCAAGAATAATATACACAATCATGCACATTATTTGTAAACAAATCAGCTTAAAATAATGTATTAGATGGATGTAATTAACAAGCCAGATAATATTTTATTCTTAATTCATGAATATTAGTGTTCACAAACATAATTTGTATTGGCACTTTTCGTTTCCAAGATGAGAATCTTTTAATATATTAGACACCGAAAGTGCTGATACAAATCATATTTGTGGACTCTACCAGTCAAATAAGTGATCTGGTAATGCTAGAATTTGAGCACAGAATAATTCAAGATAACATTATCAAATGGAGCTGAGGCCAAGATTTCAAAAATAATGTGCGTTGGAAAATGGAAAGTAGCAACCTCGCAAATTCCATAATTTCTGGATCCTTCTCAGAAACGGACGAGTTTATATTAATAATACTGGATGCTGCCATGCTGGCGTGGTGATATGACACTAGTCAAGGACACGTGGCTGACTTTCTGATCAGCAATCAGACAAATAAGAAAAATCTTATCAGTAAACGTTAAACGAAATTATTAAAAAGAAAAATTCTTGCCTACCAGTATGTATAGTATTTATATCTTCTTGGTATGTCACAAGAATGAAATCCATGTAAACGGCTTGCAGATTTTCGGAAGTTCAATTTTCATTATAGAAATATGTATATATGCTTCAAACGGCTTACAGATCAAGTGATTAGAAGGATCGGCCTTTACCACCGAGATCCTATGTTTAAGAGTGTAGTCAATATGTCTAGGGCTAGTTGTGGTCGCAGTCACTTTCCCACTTGGCTCTGGGCCTGACTCAATTATTTTGACAAGGGTCATGGTGGTGGGCAAGGCCAACGACAATGTGAGAATGTCCTTGTTTGCATGGGCCAGTACAGCAAGAGGATGTCTTTCTCAAACATCTGAGAATTTATTTACATTACGTTTTCTCTCTTTCTGATTAATGAGTACTCTCGACCTTATAGTTAGCAAATACATAAAATATAACGGATACCCAATAATTTTATTGTTGTTTTTAATGTAGAGGTTTCTCATTAGCTTATATCTTCTATTTAATGAAACTCGATAACGACAACAACAACAAAAAAAGGACGCAACGACCAACAAATTGTGTAATTGGGTGGAGGAGATGATAGAAAACTTAGCAGTGGGCCAGACTAGAGTGCCAAAGAGAGAGCGCATGCAGCTCTCTAAACCAAACGGCAAGGCCAGCCGATGAGAACCAATGAATGCAAGGTCTCTTTTACGATGCTGACCTTATATGGATGAAAGACAGGCTTTCTTCCAAATTAGTAAAACAAAACGGTGGTCCACTGGTTCCTAATGACTACTACTGACACTACCATTGAAAATTTGAAAGTAATTGGTGCTGCTACCTGAAAATATATATAAAAAAGAGAGAGAGTGACGCAGCATGACAAATAAGTGGCTAAAATCTTAGTTTAGAACGTGAAACTCTAGATTCCATCAAGAATATATGAGGAAATCTTAAGATTCATTTGATAAACTAGAATAACAAAACATAATCCTAGCCACGGGTAAAATATATTTAAAGATTTTCTATTTAAATCTCACACTTCTCTTAGTTCACCCCTGATGAGAGTCTCAAATTACATCTTTTTACTATTATTTTGGAGACTTTATAATATAATTTCACTTGTTGTTACATTTTATTCTCACCAACTGGATTTATGAATTTTCTATATTAATTTGGTGAACTTATTAGGTGAATTTATCTTTTGTAGGAAGTTGGAAAGCCAAAAAATGAAGACATACATTTATCCAAGTTCAAGCTAGGTGTGAAGAGAATTGCTGGCAGATTTAATTGAAGAATTGATTGTAAGATTATTGTGATTATAAAGAGAAGTAAAGACTGAGAAGAGAAGACAAAACCGTTGAAGCTAAAAAGCCTATTTCATGTCATTCATAGCCATTTAACGCCCACTTACCTCACCGTTATTTCTTTTCCACTAACTCTTCACCATCAACACATGTTTAATCCAATTAATCCCTCAATTAAACCCTTCATCACCCACCACGAATGTATTAACTTCTCACTCACCTCATTGACTACTATAAATCACTCATCAACTTATTTGGCAAGGGGACCCCTGCGACATTTCTTTATCCATTTAGTTTATATTTTCCTTTGTAATGAGTTGCTAGAACTATAGCTAAGGCTAAAGGGAATTTTCTTTGAGTAAGTTTGTGAATTGTTCTTTAATCCAATATATAGTATGAATTGCTAAATTCTTTTATTTTTGGTTGTTTAATATTTTCATATCCTTTTATTTTGATTGATGTTAAGTGCTATTATCTTTTCATG